AAAATAAAAATTTCTAAAAATTTAATTCTATAGAATTCTTGAAAATTTTGCCGAACTTACAATTCGAGAACCATTTTTTTAAAATTCGTTTTCAAATTCGACTTCAGTACGTAGTTTTTAAAATAATTTTTGAATAGATTTCTCTGATATTAAATCGTCGTATCTTGAATAATTTTGAAATCTTTATTTTCTTGGAAGGCTTTATATGTTAGGTCTTAATACACAACCCTCGAGTTATAACACAATGAATACGAAACATTCTATTAAAAGAATGTTTGTACAGATGATAACTAAAAGGGGTATCTATTTCCCCTTTATCTAGCGTGTACTTTTCACACATTTATCAACAAAATAACACTTTTGATTTCCGTTACGTAATAAGCATCCCATCCCTAGAGCTGTCTTTAAATATATATAATATATAGGGTGTCCCAATAAACATTGGAATTCAGTGACAAATTCGATATCGTCTTTTTAAATAATTCTTTGATTTAGCATAGTAATACCTACTGAGAAAGCTGTAATCTGTAAGAGTTTCGTCTGCTATGTTCACATTTTGTTTGTTTATGTTCTGACTGCATAAGGGTGTACTTAGTAAAACAAGAAAATTGCAGTATACAAACAGAGTAAACGTGTCCGTCTTCACTGTTCATCTTGCGGAGACATTATAGACACATCTTTACAGCCATTTACCCTTTTCATAAAATGAACTCAGGTATTACAATGCTAATTTTAAACAAAGACGATATCGAATTCGTCACTGAATTCCCATGTTTTTTTGGACACCCTGTATGTAAACTGAGACTCTCCTATAGCTAAGAATTGGCGCAGTTGCGGCCTTAAATAAATGAGAACTTGAGAAGATGACCACAACAATACTTGATTGCTAAAATATACAATGACAAAGATTACAAATGGAAATAGAAATTGTTTCATACAATTAAATGTTTTTAAGCATTCTAAAAACTGAAGGAATTTGTTTTATTAAATGTGGTTTTAAACAAAGGAAATCAGATAACAAAACTCCAAAAAAAAGTTCACTTTCAAAGTTATTTTAAATATCTTATCGAATCAACCTGTAGAGATATCTAGCGGGAAGGTTTAGAACTATAAATTGAAATTGCATTTACCCAAATCCTTATCATGCTTTGTTATCGTCATATTAGAAACACACAATGAATCTATCAGTATCCTGCAGTAACTTATGATCCGACCGACGTAGAAACGGACTCATTCTCTTCTGACCTTTTATAGGTTTTCCACCTAAATATGACACTGCAAACTAGACAGAAGGAGAAGGTCAAATTATGCGACATCACTGATACAACGTTGTTACCTCGTAGCTCCTCTAGTTTTGATTTTAACCCTATCTCTGCTGGGGTACTTGAAAACCAGGATACGCTGGGGGGGGGGGTCAATTTGACCCCCCCCCTCTAAATCCCATGTTTGATGTCCAAATATGACAAATGATACATCATTGGAAAGCTCTTATGCTCTACTTTTAGAATCTGCAAAAAAAATTTGCAAATTTGCAAAAATTGAATTTTTATCGCAAAATCCAGTTATATAGTAAAAATGTTTGCAAAAAAAAATTTGTCCAAAAAATGAAAAATTATACATTTTTGAAAAGCCCTTGACCATGCCATTTCAAATATGCAAAAATTTTTGCAAAATTTTAAATAACCTGATTTTTAATCAAGAAAAACTAAAAATGTGCAATTTTCCTTTGATAGGTTGTTTGCAAAAACTTGCAATTTTTTTCGCAAAACTTGTGCAATTCGTTTCCTTATGTCAAAGGCTTTCCAAAAAGCTAAATTTTATCAAAATCTGACAAGTGGAAGTGGGTCAAAACAAAGATTTAGTTTGTTAAAGGAAAAAGTAGTCATTCAGGCAGTGTGCCTGAGGACTCAGGCAGTTAGTATTAAAGCCCGGTTTTAGGCCTAAAGGGAGGGCTTTGGGTATGTAGGAAAAGTCAGAAAATTTCAACAGCCTCAGACCAATACTTTTTGAGTAAAAAAAACTACAGGGGGGGGCAAATTGACCCCCCCCCCAGCAGGAATAGGGTTAAGCAATAAGCATGAAGTAGGAGAAAAGCAAATTTATCCGAACTTAAAGGAAGTGTTCGCGAAAAATGAAATGGATAGGCTTACAGCGAAAAATAAGCGCGTTTGATTGCTACTAATCTTATTTCTATCTGTTGCGTCTTGAGAAAATTGTTAAAAACGACTCATACTGAAGAACTATAGCGTCCATACAAATTCCGAAAGTTGCAACATTCAACTCGGAGTCGTTTTTAACAATTTTCTCCTTATTGACGCAACAGATATGAAAGATAGAAGTAAGATTAGTAGGGATTAAAAGTGCTTATTTTTCGCCGTAAGCGTATACCCCCTTTCAATTTTCGCGAACACTCCCTTTAAACATTTTATTTTTTCTCATTAGCTCTAGAGTTATGATTGAAAACCCATAAAACTTAAATTTTGCGTGGAATTTAGTTTGGTTTAACGTCGTGCATTTAACTTAGATTATTTGGACGATGTTGGTGGAGGCAATTTAAAGCCTCAAATTCTTGCGGTAATTAGACATTTAATGAGGCTTGTTTATAATATTTTAGCTGGAAAACCTGGCGCTGCCCAGGCTTCTAATGTTTTTAGCCGAAGAGTCCAATGTTGCCTGGGAAGATCAAGGGTTCCCTCAAAAATATTTCAGCCAATCTGGTCCATCCGTTGCCCGTTATGCAGGCTAGCATAGCTAATATATATATATGAGCGAAGAGCTTTATTACATGGAAAATATTGAATAATAGTTCTAATACCTTTTAGGTCGGTTTCTATATCATCCTTGCAAACCGACTTGCTTCAAACACAAAGATAAGAAAAGCTTGCCCCCCCCCCCACACACCACCACAATATTGTTTCAAGCCTAAACAGTAAAAGTACGCGACAACATTTAATTTTAATAATTAAATTCAATTTTAGGAATAATTTTACAAATTAAATTTAGTTTTAGGACTAATTTTACTAATTAAATTTAGTTTTAGGACTAACTTTACAAATTAAATTTAGTTTTAGGACTAATTTTACTAATTAAATTCAATTTTAGGACTAATTTTACTAATTTAATTTAATTTAATTAATTACTTAAAAGAAGAGTCCATAATTTGTAGATTTTTCTATTTTCTATTTTAATACTTGTTGTTTTCAATAATTGTAATACTTTTATATTAAAGATAGTTTCTGTACATCTTAGTTCTATTTGTAAAAGATAGTTCCATGTACATCTTAGTTCTATTTGTAAAAGATAGTTCCATGTACATCTTAGTTCTATTTGTAAAAGATAGTTCCTGTACATCTTAGTTCTCTTTGTAAAAGATAGTTCCTGTACATCTTAGTTCTATTTGTAAAAGATAGTTTCTGTACATCTTAGTTCTATTTGTAAAAGATAGTTCCATGTACATCTTAGTTATATTTGTAAAAGATAGTTCCTGTACATCTTAGTTCTCTTTGTTCTTCAAAAATGTTTATAAAAGAACAATTAAAGCCCTGTATAAAGTTTACTAATTCATCACAATGATATTTTTCAATGAAAATATTTAAACTGCACATTTGAATATATTTATAAATCACTATTTGACAAAAGGATAATATTAGTTCCTCTTTCGTTTACAAATTAACTAAGTCTTCTAACAATATTTATTCAGCATATTCAAAATTCATTGCAAAAAATTATTGAAATACATGATTTTAAAAACTAGCTGAAGTGCGACGTTGCCCGTGGATTTTTTTTGAGTTTCAAATATTTTTTTCGATTTTTGAAAAAAAAATGCCTAAATTTGTTTTCCCTATAGTAATCCCCGGGCACCCATGGCGTTCCCTCAACAAATTTCAGCCCATTCGGTTCAGCAGAAAGAGTTGCTGCAATATAAATAACAGTAATAATAATAACAAAGAAACATTTTACACAGAAAGAACAAAAGAAAATTGATCAGAAATTTTCATGATTGTTAAATTCAGTCTATGTACGTAGCGGTCAATATCGACCGCTCACTTTATAGTTACATTTTACCCCAAAATAATTTTACAAATAAATTTTTTTTGAAGTTTTGTGTAATTTGTGAACCCCAAAACAAAGTTCTTACGCATATTTTTGTTTTTATTCAGTGTAGATCTTGATAGATATTGAGAGGATACGCAAAAATTAGACAAAACTGTGAGACCCTTTAATTTTTTAACATTTTCGTGATTTTCGTTCCAAAACATATGTCTGAAGTTGTTACTTTTTATGTAATTTACATTTTAAAAGGCAGGAATTTGTCCAGAGGAAACATAAAAAAAATCCATGAGGGGCAGGGGGCTCAGAAACCGTTGGGGTCTAAACCCCCCAAGATTTCACTAATCCAGGGGAGGGCCGGGGGCTGAGCAATGTTATGAAGGGGGAGGGGTTAACTGGTCGCCCCCCCCCCTCTTTTAGGCCTCAAGCTATTTAAACTACACACCAAGCTGTTTTAAATGTTTAACTTTACTTTTAATAGGAAATTATAAACTTTGCATTATTCCGAAGCGGTCGATATTGGCAATTAAAACATCCCATGTCGATATTGGCAATTAAAAAATCCCATGTCGATATTGGCAATTTTAAAATCCCATGTCGATATTGGATACATCAAGTGAATAATCCCCCTCTATAGTGAGATTAAATGTACAGAGTGTCCCAATAAACATGGAAATGGAATGACGAATTCGATATCGTCTTTATAAATGATTCTTTGATTTAGTATAGTGATACAGGGTGTACCACGAAACATGACAGTTGGTAAATAGTTTAGAATGTCTTCTTCCATAATTTATTAAGTTGTTTAATACCAAAGATAATTATAAAAATATTATATTGGAGTCATATTATTGTAAAATTAATTTCAAAGTAAAATATAAAATGATTTTTAAAACGAAATAAACTGTAAACAGTCTTTAATATCTTATACCGTGTATGGAAGACGACATTCAAAACTATTTACCAACTGTCATGTTTCGTGGGACACCCTGTACCTACTGAGAAAGGTGAAATAAGTAATATTTTGAGAGTAAACAATTGTACATCTACACTGTTAATCTTGTAAAAACATTAAAGAGTAAAGACACATCTTTACAGACATTTACCGTTTAAATAGAATAAACTCTAGCAGACAAATATTTTTTACTATTATGGATTTTTAAATCAGGTATTACAATACTAATTTTTATTAAAGACTATCTCTAATTCATCACTGAATTCCCATGTTTAATGGGACACCCTGTATAATAACTTTTATCAACTAGAGAACTGTTTCTATCTCCTCAAACCCGACCCTTGCCTCCAGGAAGTCCGCCGAATCTGCACTATCAAACCCGATCTCATCCTGGACTGATTCTGGGGTCCACCCACCATACTCACCATGTAATGGGTTCACAAACCTCAAATCTCTTTAATTAAATTTTGAATGTTTGTTTTTTGCAAATCAAGACAAAAAAAATAATGTAAAAATTGTACGCGAGAAAAAAATAATTTGTGTTGTACATGGAATATGCTTTTTTAGGGAAAAAGGGTTAAAATTTAACACTTTAAATCTAAATTTTCGAAAAAAAATTCGAGGTCCTAAATCTCAGACTGCAGGGAAACTCATCATGCCAATGAGATCAAAACTTTTGTGTAAAATAGCGCAAATCTGCAACACTTGATCTTGATATCCGTTGTGACAACTTTTGAATTGGAGTGCTTGATCCAATTTTATCATAATTATTAGTTTTCTGAATATCAAAGAGGTATTGATTTAACACTTAGAACAGAACACACTGTGATCTTGTTGCATAAACCGTGCTGGGTCGCTGTACACCGCAAGTAGCCTGACTGGACAGTACGACGGACTGCATTTACACTGTACAGTAGGTGTTGTACCGGCACGGATTATGCAACTTTAGATCCCAGGATTCGGAATACAAAAGTTTTGAACTCTGTGTATACAGCTTATTTAATGATTTAACAAAAATAGAAATAAGTTTACAGTTTTAATAAATCATAAATATAAGGAAACAGATAGTTTTAATTCCGTACAGTCGTCTCTGCGTCTTATCCTTTGTAGGTAATATTTCAACATAGAAGGTAGAGTAACTTTCATTTATGTTGTAAAGAAGGTATTGATCAAGGAGGTATTGACAGTATTGTCAGATAATTTACTCCGTTTTAGGAAACATTTTATTTTAGTGAAAATAATTGAATATGTGTAAACTATCACATTTGTACTTGAAAATATATCAGATCTTGCTTTGGGGATACTGAAATATTTTTGACTCTTCGATTTCATAGTGGCATGTCCTATTTACATCGGTACTGTTTTCAGGCCCTTCAGGCACATTCAAGGCTATAAAAGTGCAAAAGAATCTGATAAAAAATCAATTTCCAAAAATTTCTTTTTATTGTATAAAGCAAACATTTTTCTCCGACCAAAGATATTATCCAAAACGATTTTATAACGATTACTTTGGGGCCGGGTCACGAAACGTTTAAATTTGATAATTTTGATGATTCAACCTTGATAAAATTTAATTTCCTAGAGGAGGGAGGATCTAGTAGTTTATCCGTTACACTTGGTTCATCACAGTCCAGGGCTGGGCAAATAATAATAATGATAAAAATATGAAATACTGAAATAAAAATATGAGATACTGAAATAAAAATATAAAATACTGAAATAAAAATATGAAATACTGAAATGAAAATATGAAATACTGAACAAAAAATATGAGATACTGAAATAAAAATATGAAATACTGAAATAAGAATATGAGATACTGAAATAAAAATATGAGATACTGAAATAAAAATATGAGATACTGAAGTAAAAATACAAGAAACTGAAATAAAAATATGAAATACTGAATTAAGAATATGAGATACTGAAATAAAATGACTACTCATTAATAGATGTAAAGAAACCTCGAGAACCAATGTGCATACTAGAGAATTAGTTCAACTAACCGCAACTATCTAGTTCAACTTCTTCTATTGCTATAATACTTCAACTTCTGAACTTAAATTTTTAAATGAACGACATGTGTTCTTTAAGCATGCAGTTTTGAAAAAACGGAATTGAATCTTTGTCACAAACTCTTATTTTCTAATCTCTATATTTTTGCACCCCAATGTTGCATACCTTAGATATCTCAAACTATGAATTCTTTTAGATCAAATAATTTAAGCTTTAGATATCTAAGGTTTACACCATCAGGTTGCGAATATATAAGGATTTGAACATTTGAGTTTGTTGCAAAGACTTTACTCCTTTGACTAAAAAGACAGAAAGATTCTTAACTCATTTTAATCATTTTACAAGATTGGAGATGAACTTTTTTTCTCGTGAATTGATCAAATAAAAGAGGAAAGCTCTCTGTAAGTTTGTGACAAAAACTCAATTCCTTTCTAATATTTCCCACTAAAAATGATGTACTTACTCTTAAAGTTTGAAATATCAAAGGCAGAGCAAATATATGCGGTTTAGAAGATTAGAGTTTGTGGCAAGTGTGATAAGTTCCTTTTGACATAATTCAACAATACAAATATTGAAAATATTTTGAAATATTATTATTTTTCCTTGAAGTTTGATTTTTAGCTCCTCCACCTGAGCCTGGTTTCAACAAATATATTTTTCTCGTGTTCATAAATAAGATTAGGAGGAAGAATGTAATACAAAAAATAATAGGGTATAGAAAGTTAACAGGGAGTATACAAGGGGGGGAGGCAGTGCCCCCCCCCCAAACTAATAATAACACCAAGGACTAGGAGTATGATGGAAATGTAGGATCTTACACTGTAAATAGATATAGTAAAATAGAAGGGTATGGATCTTACACTGTAAATAGATATATAGTAGGATAGAAGGGTATAGATCTTAGACTGTAAATATATATATAGTAGGATAGAAGGGTATAGATCTTACACTGTGTATATATATATATATATATAGTAGGATAGAAGAGTATAGATCTTACACTGTAAATAGATATATAGTAGGATAGAAGGGTATAGATCTTACACTGTAAATATATATATAGTAGGATAGAAGGGCATAGATCTTACACTGTGTATATATATATATATATATAGTAGGATAGAAGAGTATAGATCTTACACTGTAAATAAAGTAGAAGGATAGAAGGGAGGATTAAACACTGTATGTAAATAGATATAAAGTAGGATAGAAAGGGTATAGATCTTACACTGTAAATAAAATAGAAGGATAGAAGGGTAAAGATCTTACACTGTAAAAAATATATTCCTGAGCAAGTTTCAAATCTCTCTCTGCTGTAACTAAACGCTTTTTACAGTTTGGATTCTTACAGGCACATTCTTCTCTAGATTCCTTGTCCCTGATATATTTAGATATAAATCTATCCTAAACCTATCCTAATCTTATCCTTAACCTATTCTTAACCTATCCTTAACCTATCCTAAACATATCCTACACCTATCTTAAACCTATCCTAAAACTATCCTAAACCTATCCTAAACCTATCCTTAACATATTCTAAACCTATCCTAAACCTATCCTAAACTTATCCTAAACTTATCCTAAAACTGTCCTAAACCTATCCTAAACCTATCCTAAGCTAATCCTAAACCTATCCTTAACACAGTTTAAACCTATTCTAAACCTATCCTAAACCTATCCTAATCTAATCCTAAACTTATCCTGAACTTATTCCTAAAACTATCCTTATCCTATCCTAATCTTGAACCTATCCTTAAGCTATGCTAAATCTATCCCGTAGCTATCTTGAACATAACCTAACTCAATCCCGGAGCTATCTTTAGTATATCATAACTCAATCACGGAGTTTTCTTGAACCTATCCTAACGCTATCCCGGAGCTATATTGAACCTATCCTAACGCTATCCCGGAGCTATATTGAACCTATCATAACTCAATACCAGAACTAGCATGAACCTATTTTAACTCTATCCCGGAGCTATCCTAACCTAATCCTTAATCTATCCCGGAGCTATCTAACCTTATTTTAACTCTATCCCGGAGCTATCTTGAACCTACTTGCGTATAGATGTTGCCATGGATAATGAGACTAGATTCCACCACTCATGATCTATGCAGAAGTTTCCCATCCATCTTCTCATGTACCTAGAATCAGAACTTGTAAACAAACATGGAAGTACAAGTACATCCAAGTACAACAGTACAACACGTACATCAACAATGTGTACAAGAAACTTTCAAACCTAGAACCAGAGATCAGAATGAACTTTTATGCGGAGAATCGTTAATTTCAAATACTTGATCTCGATATCCAATATAGGCACTTTTACGAAATAAACTAATCTGCGTAGGCGTAACACGGAGATCAATTTATTGATCCTTAGATTCTCAAAACAAAAGTTTTACCGTTAGAACTTACAAACAGTATGATCATGTGCAAAGAAATAAACTAATCTGCGTAGGCGTAAGATGGAGATCAATTTATTGATCCTTAGATTCACAAAACAAAAGTTTTACCGTTAGAACTTACAAACAGTATGATCATGTGCAAATCTTGCATATACGTACTTTGTAAATAGAACTTGCAAACAGTATGTTCATGTGCAAGACCAGCCGCTGAACAAGCCTTACAAAATTCAACTACCTATTTTTATTTTAAAATTTTACAGAAAACATTAAAGGATAATTTTGATAATTGATCCAAAAAATTGATAGTAATAGAAAATAATATTTTATCTCTCAATTGGTCAACACTCAAATGTTCGGAGATTTGTAAATTAGAGTTTAGAGAATTGATTTAAAGAGGCTGTCCTCCGTACAGAGATGACAATACCCAATACACCTCGGTACCTTTGATACCTTAATCTGATCAATAATGTGGAAGATATTGTCGTTTTTCTAGGTTTAGAAGTGTTTAATTTGAATGATTCCTGTTTGTTTTCCTGCATTAGAAATGCGCAAGTCACGTTTTGTAGAGAAGCCACAATTGAAAATAATCTGCTTTCCAAATTATAAACATTGATATCTAATTTAAGCTTGATTAGACAAAGCTTTGAAGGGTACCGCGACCGATGTGCTTGTGAATATTGCTCTCTTTTAATTGAGGGTTCCTTGAAATTACGCTGACAGTCCCTTTAATTGAGGGCTACGCTGACAGTCCCTTTAAATTCAAAAGTGTTTAGCTTTGTTTTTGAGATTTTTGAAAGGAACTTTTTGTGTTATTACAGCTTTAATTTGGCTACCCTGGGGGTAACATAGTCTAAAAAAATAGTGTTTTTTTTTTCAAAATACAGAATCTTTTTTCCCAAAGTGTTTTTAAAATTCAACAGGTAACGCCGGGCACATGAGCCTAGTAAGAAATAAGAATATAAGAGATTATCAAGCAAAAGAATATTTATCTCCGATGGTCTATTTTCTAAATCCACTGCAGTGTAATCATGTGTAGAATTACTCAACATAAAACTAAGAATAATATTTACATAATGAGACAAGAAACTTATACTATTATAAAAAGACAAACTTTTTTATTTCGAGAATACAAATAAAGGTTATGGTTTGAAAATAACTAGGTTTTTAGGGCGCTTCGCGCCCATCTTCTTTTTCAACTTTTAATTGTGGCTTTATCTGTGAGCATTTTCAAACTTTAAACTAAATTAAATAATTTAAGATAAAAATATTTTAAGATTACATATTTAAAGTCTGATTGGCCATAAACCTTCCCTGGGGCCACATGAGGTCCCACATAAAATTTGGGCCTCATCGGTTCAGCCGTTTTGACGTTTATTGGACACAAACAAACAAACAGACACACAGTCAAGCCAAATTTATATATAGATTAAGGTTATAAATGTCTTAATCTTTTTAACGAAAATACTGGTAAAATACAATAATCTAACAAAGCATAAAGGTGTCCCAAAAAATTTAAAAAAAACAAGTATTTTTCTCCAAGGATCTATTGCGATTGGACTTATACTTTTCCGAGGCATTTAAAACTGTTCACGTCTCTTTCTAGTTTTATAGCTAGAACTGCAATCACGGTAATTTAAGGGTTCTTGTAATATAATAAAACAAGACATTCGTATATATATATATGTTGCCTATAGCCGGCCAAACGGCTGGACCGATTGGGCTGAAATTTTTTGTGGACACTCAGGGGTGGCCAGGGGGTGTTAGGCTAAAAAATAAAAAATAAATTTCTTCCATTTTTTTATCTACGGGCAACGCCGGGCCCCCCAGCTTGTAATAACTAATTTTGAAACCCGTTTTCATCCGTTAAATAAAGATTTTATGTAGATTTATTTTATACATTTTTATTTTAAATATCATACGCGATATTCAAGGGGTTTTGTCGACATATTTTTAAAGAAAATATTTCAATTTTGAGCATCTAAAAACCTTTCCATGCGATCACATGAGTTGCCAATAAAAAATTGGGTCCCATCAGTTCAACCGTTTTGATGGGATACAATCAGACAGAAGAGTCTTTATTAAACTCCCTGTTGTTGTGGATTATATATTATCTTTTGGTACACTGGTAGGCTGTGATTAAAAATTTATTTTGGTACACTCTGTAGACTTTGATTAAAACTTTATTTTAGTACACTCTGTAGGCTGTGATCAAACCTTTATTTGGTACCCCCTGTAGGCTGATATCAAACCTTTCTTTGGTACACCCTGTAGGCGGTTTTCAAACCTTTATTTGGTACACACTTTGGGCTTTGATTAGAACTTTATTCTGGTACACCCTGTAGGTCGTGATTAAAACTATATTTGGCACACCCTGTTGGCTGTGATTTAAACTTTATTTGCTACACCCTGTAGGCTGTGATTTGAACTTTATTTGGTACACCCTGTGGATATATGACACTTAGCAATAAAGATGATGGATTTACAAACCCCTCGAGATATTAAATCTTTACATGAAAGAGAGCGTCGTGTCATCTTTCACACAATTTTGAAGAAATTCAGGAACGATTTTTGCATACTTGTCAGGAACTTAACACTTTTAATAATAAGTTTTCTAATTCATTTATCTTTGCAACCAGAGTCCGAATTTAATGAATTTAAGTCACGTCTCAAATCCCCCAAAAACCGGGTTTAATTGACCCCCGGCTTAAATCTTGAAAAATTTAATACAAATTTAAGTGGAACCAACCATGTTAGATCCACGGCTTAATTTTAAACCGTGGCTCAAACTCTTTAAATTCGGCCTCTGGTTGTTTAATTCCCAGATTTGACTATTTTATCTAGCAATACATAATATGAATGATATCAGATTACAATATGGATTAAATAATTTTAATTCGAGGCAAGCACTCATCATTTTTGTTTGGAGAGTTCTTACACTATATCGATGCGTTAAAATTATACAAACCTATAATAGAAATTATACAAACCTATAATAGAAATTCTACAAACCTATAATAGAAATTATACAAACCTATAATAGAAATTATACAAACCTATAATAGAAATGTTCTATTATAAGGAAAAGAACGGATACGCAGGCTCCACTCCCAAGCAGGATAAAGGCAGACATAAACTGAGCTGAAAAATTTAAATTAAATTTATTTTATTTTTATTTAAAAAAAAGATTATATTGCCCGAATTTATGACGGTTTATAACGCAAACATAATCTTCTCTTGGTGGGTTGAATTGTACTTTATTTATTTTTACAGTTTTTGAAAAACTTCGCCGATAAAAATAAAACTAAAAACTGCATGAGAATCCTATGTTGGCTTTATAAGAAACTAAAAGCACACAAAACACAAAATTCTTCAATGTGAGGTACTTTCCCAAAGGCGTTTTCCCAAGGGTATTTGTAGCAATTTCCCAACTATGCAATTTCCATAGCGGCAACTTCCACCTCTGTCCTAGCCGCAGCGTTCGGTCTAATTGCATGTTCTACTCTCAGAGCTCGCACCGGGCAGCCGTGATACATTTGAATTTCCGAGCCGGGTCAATCTTTCCGGTCCCAGTTTGTACTGTATCGCCCGGACGTTGGGTAAATAAAGTAGACACTTTAAAGGACTATCCCATGACTAGCCGGTGCAACAAGTTTGACGCGGTCAGACTTTAGGTTGAATTTACTTTACTAAAAGGTCAGGGGTGCGTGTCAGACGGCCTTAACTAACTCATTTCTTAAGTTGGGAAAACGCTTTTGGGTAATTACCTATCTCCAATCCCCTTTATCTTTGCAACCTTGTGGTGTTAATCTTTGATTTGTCCTACTTCATAGTTGAAATATCATTGATTTATACGAGATCAAGTTGGCCAAATATTAGGATTAGAATATTCGAATATTAGGATTAGAATATTCGAATATTAGGATTAGAATATTCGAATTTGTTGCGAATATTCAGTTCTCTTCGTCGCCTTTAATTAATTAAAAGGACTGTAAGCGTAGATTCAAGTGAATTTAGCTCAATGCAAAGATTGCACTGCTCGGTTCCCTTTAAACCTAAATCTGATAAAAAATGCAGAAGATGCTCAAAAAATGTTTAATTTAGATCATCTCTTCATTGTTTCTTATAAGCAAGAAATGTGCAAATCACTTTTGCAGAGAAAGCCAAATGAAAAGAAACCGAATTGACAATAATGAAAACACGGATATTTAATTTTTCTTGACCAGACAAAGCTTTTAAGGGTTCCGATGAAGGAGGGTCACATGGAATTACGCATACAGTCCCTTTAAGTCGTGTTTCACCCACCCCCCTGTCATTTTAGTCAAATTTCATGATAAAGAATCTTAATAATAATATTGTTATATAAACATGCGATCTCTGTTTGTTTATATTATTCTATATACCCTAACTAGTGAATAGGGATAATATTTCTGCAAATAAACATTGTTCTTTTTTTCAGTTTTTACATATTTACATTTACATTTATTGGGATACAGGGTATCCCGATATAGGTTCTCCAGTCTTGGTTTTACGCATACGTACAAGAAAATCAAATGTGAAACATTTTTTTCTATTGAATAGATCTTCAATAAGATGAGTATAATTATACGACCAAGGAGTGTGGAATAGAAGGGAGATATAACTGACTCGGACCGCCCTACCATATGATTATACATGCTTTGCCGACGGTACTTCATTTGAATAAGAAATATTTGTCTGATGTACAATTACCGCGTATACAATAACCTATTCTGAATATTTCTTATACAAATGGAGTACCCGTCTGCAAGCATATATAATCATATGGTGGGGCGGTCCGCGTCAGTTATATCTCCCTTCTATTCCATACTCCTTGGTTACGACAGAAAACATGTAATATTTCACTCAGCATACGTGTAAGTTACTTTAGTTTAACGTGACTATAAGACTGTACGAGGTACTAACGGTCTAAAATGTGCAGTATTTCGTTTTTCTTCTTTAAAGAACAACGATGTTATCAAAATGTTTCCGTAATGTTACAATTCAGAAAAGGCCAAAGCCAAAACTAAAAATTTTATTTTAGAAAAGAAGATCAAGATTATTCTAAAATGGGCCTTTTTTGAAAAAAAAATAAAATAAAAAAGTTTACGTTTTATCTTCCCTGTTTGTGAAATTTAGACAGTACTCTTTTCAACAAAAATTAGTGAGTTTGAATAAAACATAAATTAGCTTTTATCTAAAAACTTCCGCTGTAGGTTAAAGTGTTGTTTTTATACAAACTTAATGCTAAAACCAAGGAGAAACTTTTCAACGTATTAATTCTTAATTACCCTCGGCACTAAACTGAGCTAGGGTTGTTTTCGATCGTTTAGTTTTTAACCAACGAACCTTCGTTTTCAGATGAAAAAATGTAGGGTCAAAACTCAATTCGTTTTGAATTTTTGAAAAATTAAAAACGAAGCGATGATGTTAAAAAAAATATTTTTTGTAAATATTTCCTTAAATAATTTTGAATTTAGTAAGATTTGATTTTTGAAAGGATTTTGTGTTTTATAGAAAAGTTAATGAATGTCATTTTACCTTTCATATGTCTTAGTCTTTGTTTAGCTTTTAAAAAGTATACGTTGTTAATGGTCGTTAACGAATGTCCGTCGTCAACGATTTTTAACGATGTACGACGTCGTTATTGGTCGTTAACGAAACGATCAGTTCGTTTTTCAGAAAATGCTGCTAACACAAAACCAGTTTGTGAAAAAATCTCGTAATACTTGTTTAAGCTTTAGAGCATTTTTATCAGATTTTTTTTTAACTTAACCATTACTAAAATACTAAAAAAATGAGCACAACAAACTAAGCTAACGGTATAGGGTTACCCACAAAGGATGAGACTTAAAAGACAAATTTTATGGAATCTATTCAGCTTTAAACGGAATGTACAGGAAAAATGAAAGGTTGTAAAGGCTGAAACCTGAGAATCTCAAGCGTTAAACGATACATATAAAACATCTATCTGATGTTTCTGTCTCGAGAAATTGACATAAAACTGTGTCAAAATTATACGTTAATCTATATATATGAAAATTGTATAAAAGCAGTAGGTTTAAACAGATCATATTCAGCAAATATGCAAACAATCTGAAAACGATTATATCCCACAAAAACCTGAGAATCTCAGGTTTGCTCCTATTATAATTTTTAATTTTTATTTTCCATTTTTAATAGATAATATTATTTTTAAGTCCGTATTACGCCACAAGAACTCCCACCAATGAGAGTGCAGTATACTGGTCACGTGATACAGACGGAAATATGTGACCAGTATACTGCACTGCCATTTGCTGAAGTTCTGGTGAAGTAATACGGACTATACGGACTTTATGTAAAAATATTATCAATTATATCTATTAAAACTGACAATAAAAATTAAATAATTATAACAAGAGAGCAAACCTGAGATTCTCGGGCTCCTCGGATCCTCGGATATCGTCGTTTTCAGATTAGTTTCGTATTTGTAGAATATGATCTGTTTAATACTACAACTTTTATACAAAATTGCATATATATGAAATTTGACACAGGTTTATATTTCTTCTATGTTTTTTTATATTTTCTAGCCTAAATATATAAACTAACCTAATGCTAAATATATAAACTAACCTAATGTTAAATATATAATCTAACCTAATGCTAAAGGTTTGCTAGAAGATCGTTTTCTCTCTCCAGGTTTGCATGCACCAGTAAACCAAAATCTCTGAAGCCTCTCTAGATCACCGTTCTCTCTGCCGTATAAAAAAAGATAATTTTTATATTCTTTTTTTCATAAAACATCTTAAATGATCAGAAAAGCCTATCGTCGCTAGCTTATCCTTCTCTAATAGAGTTGAAGAGATCATTCATTAAAAAATGAACCTTTGAAAAATAAGTCATTAACTTAAAAAGATGATAAAGTTACAACAAAAATTATGTCAAAAGTGAAAAAAATCGACAAGAAACATTTGACTTATCGACATAATTCCGAAAAAAAATTAATTTGGAAAAAGATTTACCGGTGTTTCCATTTAGAACACGGAGAATAATTCGTGTAGGGATTAAGGTCAAGATTTTCATACAGTTAGTTTAATCTTTTTCCTCCATTCTAGAAACCAAAACTGCAGGGAATATTAAGAATTTAGCTTGAACCAGGAATACTTTAGGCTGGAATAAACTACAGGGTGTCCCAATAAACATGGGAATAAACTACAGGGTGTCCCAATAAACATGGGAATAAACTACAGAGTGTCCCAATAAACATGGGAATAAACTACAGGGTGTCCCAATAAACATGGGAATTAAGTGAAGACTTTTTCTTGAACTGCACAATTATTGCAGTATTCCAATTTAAACACTCAATGTCGAAACATCTGGTCTTGAGATTTTCAAAATGTGATCTACCATTCTTGTTTCATACAAATTGACGGTTTTTATATAAAAGATAATAAATAAACAGCTGTTTATATAAAAGATAATAAATAAACAGCTCACCTGTAAATCATCAGATATTCGTTGAACATTGGAATCCATTTTGAGGACTAAAAAAAAGAAATGTTTTCAGAATAACTAGGATTTGAACTTGTAAAAGAAAATTTCACGAATTCTTAATTAATTGTATGTTTAATACTTTACTCTAAAAATACTGCATGGTGTAGAGATATGAAAGTTAATACAAATACCAATGCATGATCATTCCATATGATTATAAATCAAAGGCCAATTTGAACAGGGCTTATTTTAAAATATTACAACTTTGCTGCTATGTGCAGCTACTAATCGAGTAATTTAGAATAAGAAGTTTTTATAGAAATATCTTATATTTTTGGAGAAAATCCAGGAACCAATTAAGTTTCTAAGCACAGTGCAACAATATACAACTAATTTACCATTATCCAATAATTGATTTATAAAAATGATATTTAACATAGAGTCCAATAATGAATTATAAAGTACACTGAAAAACAAATTACAAATATATTATTTGTATGTTCATATTCAGTTATAGCCATTTTAGATTTCATTATGAAAGTACATATACATGATTTAGGAAAAAAGAAATAATATCTATAAATCATATTATTGGTGCAGTATAGATCTGTATCCCCTGGAGGGTTATCAAAGGATGTAATAATATTAATTGATCAAGACAAAATATAATACCTTGGGGAAAGCTAACCCGTATCCAGTCATAGCGTACCAGGATCCAACAGTTAGTATATTACACTCATCATCCTGTCCTACTAGATACTCTAGCACTGTTGCATCATAGATAAATGCATCTAAACATAACAGTTGCATCATTATCCTGTCCTACTAGATACTCTAGCACTGTTGCATCATAGATAAATGAATCTAAACATAACAGTTTCATTATCATTATCCTGTCCTACTAGATACTCTAGTACTGTTGCACAATAGATAAATGCATCTAAACATAACAGTTGCATCATTATCCTGTCCTACTAGAAACTCTAGTACTGTTGCATCATATATAAATGCATCTAATCATAACGGTTGCATCATTATCCTGTCCTACTAGATACTCTAGTACTGTTGTATCATAGATAAATGCATCTAAACATAACAGTTGCATCATTATCCTGTCCTACTAGATAATCTAGTACTGTTGCATCATAGATAAATGCATCTAATCATAACAGTTGTATCATTATTTTGTCCTACTAGATACTCTAGTACTGTTGCATCATAGATAAATGCATCTAATCATAACGTTGCATCATTATCCTGTCCTACTAGATAATCTAGTACTGTTTCATCATAGATAAATGCATCTAATCATAACAGTTGTATCATTATTTTGTCCTACTAGATACTCTAGTACTGTTGCATCATAGATAAATGCATCTAATCATAACGGTTGCATCATTATCCTGTCCTACTAGATACTCTAGCACTGTTGTATCATTGACAAATGCATCTAATCATAACAGTTGTATCATTATCCAGTCCTACTAGATACTCTAGCATTGTTGCATCATAGATAAATGCATCTAAACATAACAGTTGCATCATTATCCTGTCCTACTAGATACTCTAGCACTGTTGCATCATAGATAAATGCAAAACAGTTGCATCATCATCCTGTCCTACTAGATACTCTAGCACTAATGCATCATAGATAAATGCATATAAACATAACAGTTGCATCATCATCCTGTCCTACTAGATACTCTAGCACTGTTGCATAATAGATAAACGCATCTAAACATAACAGTTGCATCATTATCATGTCCTACTAGATACTCTAGCGCTGTTGCATCATATATAAATGCATCTAAACATAACAGTTGCATCATTATCCTGTCCTACTAGATACTCTAGCGCTGTTGCATCATAGATAAACGCATATAATCATAACAGTTGCATCAATATCCAGTCCTACTAGATACTCTAGCGCTGTTGCATCATAGATAAATGCATCTAAACACAACAGTTGTATCATTATCCTGTCCTACTAGATACTCTAGCACCAAAGAGATTAGAATATATATTAGAGGGGAATTTAGAGAATCTCTCGGTATGAATTTTTTTCAGTCCCTTTCAGCCTGAATGGGAGTTCAAAGTGTAAAAATCATGTAAATGTTCACAAATTATATGCAGTAGAGTACTTTAATACAGTAGGTTCCCTAGACTATCCATTTCAATTTCGCAGTTTTTAAAGCTAATAAACAAACTTTACAATGAATTAGGTGAATAAAAAACATCATTTGATTTATAGTTATAACGGAAAATCATCGTTTGTAAAATGAAATGCATAGAGTCTATGTGAAATGATCATTGGTCAATTATGAAACCAGCCTATTTCATAATTTGGTTTTCTTTTAATATTAATTTTAGATTTTCTATAAAATGATATTCCAGGGCCCAAAAGGTTATATAGCATAAATATGTGAAGTACACCTGCAGTATGGAAACAGTACAACAAAATGGCCGTTTTACACTTTTTTTCTAGTTAGTTCCCCTCTAATATATATTCTATTCTCTATGTTTAGCACTGTTGCATCATAGATAAATGCATCTAAACATAACAGTTGCATCATTATCCTGTCCTACTAGATACTCTAGCACTGTTGTATCATAGATAAATGCATCTAAACATAACAATTACATCATAAACAAATGCTTGCATCAAATACAAATGCCTGCATCATAAATGCATTTAAACATGACGGATGAATAATAAACTAAAACTTTACGGATATAAAGTTGCATCATAAAATGTAAGAATAAAGAAAATAACATAAATGTATGAACTGATCCTTTATAAAGTGTTAATTGTTGAATTTAATTTAAACTTTAATCCTTTAATTAATGTTTGACAAGAATTTCTAATTTAATTTCAAAACTTGAAATCTACAGTTACAATGTAAATTCGAATTCTATTTCTTGCAATATATCTGTTTCTTATATCTCCAACGTTTTATTCAAATTATAATGAGCTGACATGATTCTAAGATTTTAAAAACTCTGCCAATTTGTAACTTGAATAGAATTATGATATTTCAGATGAGTTTTTATGTCAGTTTTTTTATGTTTATCTAGTTTTTTACTTTTTATATATGCAAAACTGTCTGTTTTATTTCTTATTAATATCTCAGAAGGTTAAAGATGAGATTATAAAGTAAGAAAATGTTCCTATTACTCCTAAAATTTACAGGGCTTCAGAAAAGCATGAGTAAGTTAGAGCGGTAAAATCTAAGCCTAAGGCGTCGTGACACTTCAAAGTCGACCCTGTCTTAAAGTTTATGAGATAGTTTATAAGCAGGCTGAATCTATGTGAGTTGTGTATTTAATACAGTGTTATTATTTATAATCCCCTTCCAATTATTCCCATTAAACCTTTAAATCTTTATTGTAAGACTCAAATATAAAAACCGTCTTTCCATCAGACTAAATCCCTTCAAATATTAACAATCATAGTGTTTAAATGTAAACTTTCATGTCACCGTTTTCTTTGTGATTTAAAACTCAAAATTTCGTGGATTTGTCTGTAAACATTAAAGGATTTTCGAAATAAAAAAAAAAACTTTGAATAACTATTATAAAATCCATTTCGTCGTTTTATGCCAGTTATTAGTTAGTTTTAAAAACGCGATTTCCCTCCAATTCGACAAATTTATCAATTAATGATAATAGTTGTGCAAAAGATTACCTATTCCATAAACATAGTAAGAAAATTCTTATATAAGTCAAAGGCCTTTTTTAAGTCTAAATCACTCTGATTTTCTAATCCTAATACACACAGAACAGAGATTAATATAATATATATTTTCTAATCCTAATATACACAGAACAGAGATTAATATAATATATATTTTCTAATCCTAATATACACAGAACAGAGATTAATATAATATATATTTTCAATCTGATGGTTTAAACTTTTGAAATTTTAACCATCGATTATATTTGATCTATCAGAATTCATACAGTGGTAAGCGATTATATCAATACAATAAAGACGACCTTTTATGTGAGCTTTTGGATTGTTAATTTTCACAATTAGAAGTTTACAAGTAATTAAAGAGAAGCTTTTTAATTGACAGATTCTTCTGACTTATATTTTTATGTGTATCCATGCTGTTTAACAGCTTGCTATTAATCAAAATTGAAATCAAAACTCGTCTTTATTTTATCGATATAAATCGACTGCCCCTGTAGTTCTACCAAATTCGGTTGCAATTGATTGTTTCAAAGAGTGGTTAAAATCAAAATTAAAATGTAAAGTCGTCTTCATTGTATTGATATATACGACGACGACTGTATCTCTACCTAAAGCTCCAGATTTGACAGCCATGGTTCCCTCCTTGACAGTTTTCCTGCTGAACTTCTTCATGTACATGTGCATCTCCGGGAAATTGTTCTTCATGACGAAATCTGTTGCACCGTTAGGAATTGTACCAAATCGGAATACTGGGTGGTGAGAGTACGGGTTGGATAGCCTGGATAAAACAATTAATCGCAACTATTTTTTACTTTCTTCTGATGCGCATATTGGCCGCTATGTGTCTCTCCCAACCGAAATCCCTGAAATATTTAGAGCAGAGACACCTAGCGTTGCACCGTTAGGAATTGTACCGAATCGGAATACAGGGTAGTGAGAGTACGGGTTGGAAAGCCTGGATAGAACAGAAATATACTAAATAGTATTAAAGGGAGTGTTCGCGAAAAATGAAAGGGGGTATAGGCTTAATGCGATATAAAAGTGCTTTTGATCGCTACTAATCTTACTTCTATCTGTTGTGTCTATAAGGAGAAAATTGTTAAAAACGACTAATACCGAAGAACGTAGTGTCCATACAAATTCAGAAAGATGCAACATTCAACTCGGATCGTAAACAAATCAATTTAATTCCAAACAAATCATTCAGATATTACAAACAATAGTCATCGATTATTTTTCATGTATTCCCTGTACTCCCTGTACTCCCTGTATTCCCTGTACTCCCTGTACTCTCTGTACTCCCTGTATTCCCTGTACTCCCTGTACCTTATATCCTCTACTCCTGAGAGATCATAGTACTCCTCCCTGAAATCATTAAATCAATTTATTTTCTTATATCGATTAGTTTATCTAATCGTGAAAACTTCATTTACAATCTTTATTTATAGGAAACGTCGTTATAGCTTTAAGTGAATCTCCATTAAAAGAAGAAGATATTTTCGTTTTTTTAGCTTGAAAAGTATTCAATTTTCACAATTTCGTTCATTGTTTCTGTTCAGGATAATGATGCAACTGTTATGTTTAGATGCATTTATCTATGATGCAACAGTACTAGAGTATCTAGTAGGACAGGATAATGATGCAACTGTTATGTTCCTTGTTTCTTTGTTCTTGATCAGGCAAAGCAAAGGTAATGGTGTGAATCGGACATGCAACTCTAGAGATGAAGGGTCACTTGAAATAATATTAACTGATTATTTTTCTCTTTTGAATCTGAAACAAATTTGATCACACTGTGGAAGGGTTGACTTTCATGCCAGGTTTACAATCAGTCAAATTTGAATAAGAGCCTGTATACTTTTATAACAAAGGTTTGAATATTGTCAAATTCAGGGACTATAGGAGCCAGAAACATTAAATATTATCACCTTATCAGAGTTCAAACCGTAAATCCTGGTTTTATTTGATAATTTTTTCAAAATAGATTTTTTTCTGTTAGAGTTTACTGCTTTTAAATTATTTGGCTGTCAACATTTCTTCTCTTTATCAAGAACTATTTTTACAAGTTTTAAATAAAAATTTTAAGTAGAGTTTTCTTTCCAATACCTTTTTATCATGAATGCTGCTAGGTTAGCTGTATATATAGCCAGAAATATCAGAGCAAATATATACCTTGTTAACATGAATGCTGCTAGGTTAGCTGTATTATATATATAGCCAGGAATATAGAGCAAATATATACCTTTTTAACATGAATGCTGGTATAGGTTAGCTGTATATATAGCCAGAAATATCAGAGCAAATACATACCTTGTTATCATGAATGCTGCTAGGTTAGCTGTATATATAGCCAGGAATATCAGAGCAAATAGAGCAAATATATACCTTGTTATCATGAATGCTGGTATAGGTTAGCTGTATATATACCCAGAAATATCAGAGCAAATACATACCTTGTTATCATGAATGCTAGATTCAAGGATTCAAGGATTCAAGGATTCAAGGATTTAAGGATTCATTTGCGACTCTCCATATTTTCTATGAAAATCTTTGATTTTAAATCTGCTGAAGCAAAAGTATTATTTCCTGTGGGCAGTCTACATTAACAGCAGCCTTGAACAGAACTACCCACACCAACCACAGGGTTCGAACATACGAGAACCTTCCCTGCAAACAGTCACATATTTGCTTTTAAAGGAACTGTCATCGTAATTTTAAGTGACCATCCATTTATAGAGTACCCTTAAAACCTTAATCTGATCAATTGGAAGAATAGCGTAATTTTTTTGGCTTGAAAAGTGTTTATTTCTAATAGTTTCTCCATTGGTTCTGAAACAAGAAATTTTGTAGAGAAAAAACAAATAAAAATAATTAGTTTTAAAAAATTTAAAAAAACGTTGATATCTAAATCATACTTGAAAAAGCTGTTAATGTTACCGTTGTGTATCAATCATGGCACTTTACCAATGGAAGGTCACTTAAAATTACGTTCACAATCCCGTACATCCCTTTCATCCATCTCTTAATACTTTTCAAAATGGCGTTTACCCAAAATTTACTTCCAAATTTACAGTTTCCTTAATTCGGGGGAAACTTAACAAATAAATAAACCACAAAATGGCAATTTTTATAAATTTACTTTTTCCCATAGAAATCCACACTTTTTTGGAAAACCCGTTTTAGGCTTGCAGCTGTGGTGCAAAAATTAAAGAGGTAAAGCTAAAGGATTTGGTTACTTTTGGTTCCCTTTAATTTATCAATTAAAAAGTTGAGATAGATTGGTCTAATAAAAGTTTTATTAGAACGAATATGTATGAAGATATCTTGTTTGGTGTATTTTGCATGGATATGTTTATGTTTGTGCAGATTCAGATAAAGCAAAGATTCTTCTCAAATAATAAAAATATTGAAATCTTTAAAGGCACTGTAAGCGTAATTTCAAGTGAACCTCCATTTACAGATAACGATGCCCAATTCACAACGGAACCCTTAAACACTTTGTGTGATGAAATATGAACTAGTTATTGTCATTGTAAACATTTTTAAGTCTAAGATAGGGCTGGGCAAAGTTTCATTAACGAAACGGGGATTTTCGAAAATTAACGGAAGACTCCGTTAACGAACAGCAAACACCGTTAATCGTTAAATCGTTAAAGAAACGGATTAACCGTTGTTGAAAAAAATTAACAGTTAAAAACGTTAACTAAAACGATAAAAACGGTAAATTTTGTTATTTTCTGATTAAAATTGCTTGACATTTATTTCAAAAATTAAAATATTTTAAGCGTTTTGATGTTTTTAAATGTTGTCTTCTGTGTTTTTAAACCGTTAACGATTTTTTTCGCCATTAACGCCGTTAATACTGTAATATACCGTTAACGGCTGTGCCTTTCACGATTTTTTAACCATTAACGCCGTTAATTTTTTAATAACGGTACCATTAATGGCTAAAGCCGTTAAGGATTGTTGAACATTTTCTGTTAACATTGTTAATAAAATTGAGATCGTTAATTAACGGTAATTTAAAAAAAACGGGAAATGCCGATAACCAAACAAACACTCCGTACATAACTTTAAAATCAACAGCTAGCAGAAAATTTTTATTTTTTAACGATTGGAACTAACCGTTAACGAAACGGTTAGAAATAATAGGAACGTGCCCAGCCCTACTAAGAAATGACAATATCTTCAAGGGTACTGTTGGGTGGAGGGTTACAGGAAATTATGCTAACAGTCCCTTTAAGAGCAAGGACAATACAGGGGAACCTACAAAGACAATCTATATTGTCTGTTTTCGATTATCATTATAAACAGCCATTAGAAGACTTTATTCAAGGCAGAAGAAGTTAACCTTGGATTCGTCGCATTTAAGAGTTTTTAACCATTTTTACAGTCTTTGGAGGAACAGATATTAAAGGGTCTGTTGGCGTAATTTCAAGTGTCACTCAATATAAAACGTTACGTGATCGATTCACAACATCCCTTCAGCCATTTTTCTTCAAATTTCCTTTCATAGATGACACCAATTGAAAGGGATCAATTTTCTAAAGAACAATGATAGCTCCGTCTTTTTTTCTCAATAAAAGTTTTTTTTAGGTTACCATTGTGAATACATGTAATTATTAAAACAGAAACGATGTCGATAGACAAACATTGCAATTTTAAAAGGGATAAAAAAGTGTTACATATTTTTAAAATTAAAATGTCTCAAATCGGACTGTCCCTGAGAGTGTGTCTGTTTCATATTGTAGCCGTGCGGGGAGAGCCATTCAAACAGAAATATTGAAGTTGCAGCAACCTTAAATAAAACTAAATTGCAACATCCCTGAATAATAATTAATCTGTATCTAATTAAATATTATAAATTTTAATTATTGTGAGGTCTGAGGCTGTCAGTGGTTGTTACTGGTTGTTACTGGTTGCAACTGGTTACTACTGGACATTACTGATTATTACTGGTTGTTACTGGTTGTTACTGGTTTTTATTAGTTGTTACTGGTTGTTACTGATTGTTTTCGGTTGTTACTAATTCTTACTGGTTGTTATTGATTGTTACTAGTTGTTACTGGTTGTTACTGGTTGTTACTGGTTGTTACGGATTGTGACTAGTTGTTACTGGTTGTCACTGGTTGTTAGTGGTTGTTATTGATTGTTACTGGGTGTTACAAGTTGTTACTGGTTGTAACTGGTTGTTTAAGGTTGTAACCGGTTATCAATGGTTTTACTGGTTATTACTGGTTGTTACTGATTGTTACTGGGTGTTACAAGTTGTTACTGGTTAATGTTTCTGGTTGTTACTGATTGTGACAGGTTGTAACTGGTTGTTACTGATTGTAACTGGGTCTTACAAGTTGTTACTGGTTGTTACTGGTTGTTTGTGGTTATTACTGGTTATCACTGGTTATTACTGGTTGTTAATGGTTATTACTGGTTGTAACCGGTTGTTACTGGTTGTTACTGGTTTTTATTAGTTGTTACTGGTTGTTGCTGATTGTTTTCGGTTGTTACTAATTCTTACTGGTTGTTATTGATTGTTACTAGTTGTTACTGATTGTTACTGGTTGTTACTGATTTTACTGGTTGTTAATGGTTGTTACTGATTGTTACTGATTGTTACTGATTGTTACTGGTTATTACTGGTTGTTACTGGTTATCACTGGTTGTAACCATAGTTGTTACTGTTTATTACTGGTTATTATTGGTTGTAACTACTTATAACTGATTGTTACTGTTTGTTACTGGTGGATAATGGTTGTTACTGGTTATCACTGGTTGTAACCATAGTTGTTACTAGTTATTACTGGTTGTTTCTGGTTTTAACCGAATGTATCCTACCTGAACTGTAACCACCACAACTAGCATCCAGGAGGCAAAATCAAAAGGTTCCAAAAACGCTGTCGGAGAAATAATTCCCGTTCTTTTCGAGACAAGAATTGTTATCCCCGTCTCCAGGAAGGGTATGGAGAAGTCGATGACGCTCTCCCTCCCAGAGTTAATCTTGAGGGAGGTGAGAACCATATCCGTCTCGTGCTTGATCAGCTCCGCCACCAACCCGTTCCAGGTCCCGTTCTGGATACCTCCCCATTGTCCGTCCTAAATACAAAAATGCCCGAATACAACGAGACCATAAAAGCTTTGTCTGATCTACTCCAGGAAAACTTAAATTTTAGGAATTATTAGAATTAAACACTTTTAGACCTAGAAAAACGACAATATCTTCCCCATTAATGATCAGATAAAGGTTTCAAGGTATTGTTGTGAATCGGGCATTGTTATCTTTTCATGGATGGTTACGTAATATTATGGCAGCTGGGGGGTCACATAAAATGACGTGCCTTTAACATTAAATATTTACCTTAACACGCTTGAGAGCATAGTCGAAGGATAAATCAGCTGAAAACTTTCGAAGCAAATCAACACAAAAACCTGAAAGTAAAGTATTCTATTGGAGCAAATCCACACAGAAATCTGAAATTACTTAGTTGGAGCAAATTAACACAGAAACCTGAAATTATTCAGTTGGAGCAAATCAACACAGAAACCTGAAATTATTCAGTTGGAGCAAATCAACACAGAAACCTGAAATTATTCAGTTGGAGCAAATCAACACGGAAACCTGAAATCATTCAGTTGGAGCAAATCAACACGGAAACCTGAAATTATTCAGTTGGAGAAAATCAACACAGAAACCTGAAATCATTTAGTTGGAGCAAATCGACACAGAAACCTGAAATCATTTAGTTGGAGAAAATCAACACAGAAACCTGAAATCATTTAGTTGGAGCAAATCAAATATTTAATCTATTTATAAGTTGTTTAAATAACTTGAAGATTAATCCAATTATATTTAACTATGCAGACTTAGATCCTTTACCTTTGAGAGAAAAGAAACCGACTTCTAATGCATACTTTTTTAAGCCTAATCTTATCTTAAAGGGAGCGTAAGCTTAATTTCAAGTGTGAAGTGACCCTCTAAGGAAAGATGGCAATGCCTGATTTACAACGGTACCCTTGAAACCTTTATCTGATTATTAATGTGGAAGATATGGTTTTTTTCTCAAGGTTTGAAATTTGTTTATTTCGGATAATGAAATAAATATCGTAGCAAACCCCATATTTATAAACCCAAACACACCTTGATAAATTACATTGTACATTGTGACCTAACTCATTCATATTCATTCATAATTTATTCAACTACAAAGCACGAGATAATACAAGTAAAAAATCACAATTTACTATGAAGTTTGGACCCGCCTAACCAGAGTAGGTTGTTTTAATTGGTTGGCCCACTATAAACGAATGAGAATTGCAGATAAAAACAATGTACATTGTACATTTTAAACATAATAATGATGAGAAATCAGGAAAATGGTGAGGAGGAGGTGAGGGATTATAAGGGAAAGGGAGGATACTCAGCGTAAGGGTTGGAACAGAGGGTAACATAAGTTATTAAAATCTATGCTTGTAGATAACTACGTCAAACCTATATTGCAATTAAACCTAACTACGCTCATGAATAACTACGTGAAACTTGTAATTACGTTCATTAATGTAACTTGTACCATAGAACTCAAAATAAACGTTAGTTGGAAGAAAACTCTGCTTGATTAAGGTATTATAGTAATTGTTCCTCGTTTAGCAAACAGGAGGGGTCCTAAATCAATCTTGAAAGATGAACCTTGAGTTCTAGATTGAGTTGTATCTGTAAGACAGATACTTGAGAATACAGATTGAGTCTTATCCAGATTGATATTGACTATGGTATTACTGATGGACCTTGAGTTCTAGATTGAGTTGTATCTTGTAAGACAGATACTTGAGAATACAGATTGAGTCTTATCCGGATTGATATTTACTATGGTATTACTGATGGACCTTGAGTTCTAGATTGAGTTGTATCTTGTAAGACAGAAACCTGAAACTACAGACTGAGTTGTATCCGGATTGATATTGACTATGGTATTACTGAGGAACCTTGAGTTCTAGATTGAGTTGTATCTTGTAAGACAGATACCTGAGAATACAGACTGAGTTGTATCTGGATTGATATTGACTATGATATTACTGATGAACCTTGAGTTCTAGATTGAGTTGTATCTGTAAGACAGATGCCTGAGAATACAGACTGAGTCGTATCAGGATTGATTTTGACTATGGTATTACAGATGAACCTTGAGTTCTAGATTGAGTTGTATCTGTAAGACAGATGCCTGAGAATACAGACTGAGTTGTATCTGGATTGATATTGACTATGGTATTACTGATGAACCTTGAGTTCTAGATTGAGTTGTATCTGTAAGACAGATGCCTGAGAATACAGAATGAGTCGTATCAGGATTGATATTGACTATGGTATTACTGAGGAACCTTGAGTTCTAGATTAAGTTGTATCTTGAAAGACTGATACCTGAGAATACAAAGAGAGTTGTATCCGGATTGATACTGACCAAGGTATTATTGGAGAATCTAGAGTTTGAGATTGAGTTGTACCTGGATTGTTACTGATCTAAAAGCATTTATTGCAGTACGGCATTTACTACAATAATTCCTATTTGTTTTCTTGCATTAGAAATGCGCAAGTAATATTTGTTGAGGGTACCATTGTGAATTTGGCATTGTCATCTTGAAATTACGCGTATAGTCACTCTAACTAAACTTCTTGTAGACTTTCTTTTAAAAATTCCTTATTAAATTTGTTCTGTACATCTCATTAAAAAAAATATATAGTTTGTCATATTTTCATATATTTTTAAGTTTACTTTTCCCATAAGTTTCATTCAGCATATTTTAAGCATAATGATCTTTAAAGACAAAAAGCTAAGGCTAGAGTTTAATTCCAGTCTTAAATGTTGTCTTTTTCATTGTATATTAAATGATCTGGCCAACAAAAGAAACAAATTTACCAACAGCTGGGAACCATAGGAAAAAAGATTAAATTCCGAACAGTCGTCTTTATAGTCTTATCCTTTGTGGGAAACCCTGTATGAAAGCTGTAACTTTTCGTCAACTTTTCTCTATGCTTAAAATATTCACAAAGAAAAACTTTTTTCACAAAAACAAAACAAGTTTAGCTTGAATGTTTCCGATTGGTGTTGCGTCTAATAAAACCTGCATAGTTCCTAACTTAATTTAAACTATTATGTGTGAAAATTATTATTTATGTAAAATATTACTTATGTAAACTATTGTTTAATGTAGATCATTGTATTATGTAAATTATTATGTATGTAAATTATTGTTAATGTAAATTATTTATTCATTTATTCTCAACAATCATTTTTGAAAAATTATTATTTATCCAATGTAAAATATTATATCATGTTAATTATTATTTATCCAATGTAAAATATTATATCATGTAAATTATTATTTATCCATAGTAAAATATAATATCATGTAAATTATTATTTATCCATTGTAAAATATTATATCATGTAAATTATTATTTATCCATTGTAAAATATAATATCATGTAAATTATTATGTATTCATTGTAAAATATTATATCATGTAAATTAGTATTTATCCATTGTAAAATATTATATCATGTAAATTATTATTTATCCATTGTAAAATATTATTTTATGTAAATTAGTATTTATCCATTGTAAAATATTATATCATGTAAATTATTATTTATCCATCGTAAAATATTATATTATAGAGGACGTGAGTCAGACTCTAATAAAACGCATAAATAACTTCCAGTGTATATATTTCTTATAACTTATTACTAGAGGGTTCAGAACTAGAGGCAATATCAATATAGCACGTGTAGACTGTAGAGATGATATCAGTACTTATGCCCCGTATCCGTTCTATCTCATTCTGTTGAATCTTGTGGAACTAGTTTAACGCGGCCAGGCATCGTCTTAAATATTATATTATGTAAATTATTATTTATCCATTGTAAAATATTATATTATGTAAATTATTATTTTATGTAAATAGATTGAAGACCTGAACAGCACTGAAACATGGTAGAGTTGGGATTCTTCATCTCCTGAATATTTTAAATATGATCAAATCAAAAAAATAAATATTGGACATTTTTTAGTTGTGCATTCGGCACAAAATTACAAGAAGAATAAATTACAATCGACAATTCATGATTTTCTTCGTGTGTGAAAATAATTATTTAATATTTATTTTTACATTAATTTTTAGAGGAATTTCATGTGAAGTTTAGAAATAATTTGATGTGTAGTTTAGGAATGAGTTCATGTCTAGTTTAGGAATAATTTCAGGTGTAGTTTAAGATCAATTTCAGGTTTATTTTAGGAATAATTTCTTGTGAAGTTTAGGAATAATTTCAGGTGTAGTTTAAGAATAATTTCAGGTTTAGTTTATTAATAATTTCTTGTGAAGTTTAGGAATAATTTCAGGTGTAGTTTAAGAATAATTTCAGGTTTATTTTAGGAATAATTTCTTGTGAAGTTTAGGAATAATTTCAGGTGTAGTTTAAGAATAATTTCAGGTTTAGTTTAGGAATAATTTCTTGTGAAGTTTAGGAATAATTTCAGGTGTAGTTTAGGAATAATTTCAGGTTTAGTTCAGGAATAATTTCAGGTTTAGTTTAGGAACAATTTTTTGATAACTTCTGGATTCAGAATAATTTAGTAAAAACTTTTAACTTTATATTTGTTAAAACTTTTTTTCTTCAGAATTTTTTTTTTACTGTCTAGTTTACCTCTGTAATGTTTACAGTAGCTAGGTGTGAGTCAGGAACCATCTGGCATACAGCTCCTGCCGTACAAAACCGGTTCTTTGCTCTGTATTGTTTGTGTTAACAAGATTGTTGTGTTTATGTACAATAAACCTTTACTAATAAATTGGCCGGGGGGGGGGGGCGGAATTTTGAAAAAGCATCGTTGAACGAAACTCACGAATATTCGTTTGTGTATATTTATATCAGGAAATAACGAGAGATTATGAAACCAACCATACTTAAAGATATTTCTTTTAGAAAATTATTAAAAATTGCATTACCCCATTTGTGAAACTGCGCCCAGTTTCCGATACTGGGTTTCATGACATACCCGGTCTTAAGTTTTGGGCTCTGAGCCCGAAATTTAAAAGAGTATTGTTAAACCAAACTTCCCAGTTTCCTTTTTGGAGTCTCAACATTTGTTTAGATTTTGTTTTCAGAGATTCGAAAAAAAGAGAATATAAATAAACTGAAAGAAATAATATTTCACCACAAAACAATTGATATTCACATAACTGCCTATCCCCATTCGTAAAACCCGGGTTTTAAAACTGGTTTTCCTAACAATACCCTGTCTTAAGTTTTGCACTCTGGAACTACACAGCGTACTGCATATCTGTAAATTATACTGTAGGTTAAGTCCAGAGATAAGATCTATTACAGGCTAGAAAATGCAATATTTCCGCAGCTGAGCCGGAATATTCTAATCCGTACTTTTTGCAAACATATGACGTCTCCACTTACTCACGTCCTAAATACGGAGGAATTAAGTACTGTCTAAAAGGGATTTTCTACAACATTTAGTGTCCGACCATAAACTGCAACATCGCGCGACCCCTATAGACGAAAATAAATAGAAAGCTGTTCAATACACTGTAGAATAAATTTTCAGGGATGGTTTTAATTGACGACTTTAAAAAATATAGGTTAGTTACACTTTCTGGGCCGAGCACTGCGGCTAGGATGGGCTAGGGGGCCGAGCGCTGCGGCCACGGGTTAGGTTAAGTTATTACTGCATCATGGATTATAATAATTTTCGTAAAATAAAACTACAGAATATAAAATTTTGAATTTAGTTTTTATCAAATCGGATTAAAATTGGACTTTTTGAATTAAATTGTATTATTAAAATTGTGATTATTATTTATCCCTGGGTTTATAAAGTTGTATTTTGTGCAGGTACTGACATCTATAATATGGTTAACTCACGGCGAAATTATGTGAGTAAACATGACGTTAGTAAGTCTGTCTGTCCGAAAATAACTAACGGGAGACATCTAGCGGAAAAACACTATAGAGTACGGAGACGTATTTAGGACGTCTTAAATACGACCATAAATTTGAAAAAATTCCGGCTCAGGGTCTATTGGAGTACACGACCAATTAACAGACGTTGGTTCATGGATGGATCGTTTTTTTTGGAAAAACTATCGTTTCGTTATGAAAACGACGACGAAAAAATGAAAAACGAATCGATCGTTTTTAAACGATTGTTTTTTAAAAACGACCATTTTTATAAAGTTCGGTGTTTTGTTAAGGATTGTTAAAGACAACCCTTTGTTAACGATCTTTATTGACGTAACGATAAAACAACATTCGATAAAAGACGTTTTCAAAAACGATTGTTATTCGTTTTCTAAAATTCAAAAAAAGGTTTGTCGTTTTCAAAAATTATCGTTTTTTTCCGAAAACGAAACGATCCTTTTTGAAGACGATCGAAAAACGATTAACAACCCTATCTGTATTCAGGGATATTTAAGGATAATTTGGATACGATATACTAAACATTAAAAAATAGACTATATTTATAAATTTTATGTTTTATGTTAAAAGTTAGAGTATTTCCTGAAAAAATGTAAAACTTATCCCCCGAACGGCTATTATATGCAACAAGGGGCCGTTAGATGACAGTCAAAAACCTTTTGTGGAGAGAACGTACTGCGTATTTGATAAGTATACCCACAGACTACACAGACTGCTCATACACTCTACCTTTACTGACATCTCACGGCCAATTGTTGCATTCAAGGGTTAAGTTTTACAGGTTTTAAAGAAATATTCCAATTTAAACACATACACATAACGTTTATGAATATTATATATTTTTAAAGATTTTGCATTTCCTATTCAAAGGATCACTGAATACAGATGTCTCCTGATTGGTCGTGTACAGTACTTGTACACAATAGAACATGCTGTGGAAAATATCGCATATTATAGGTGTTAATCGATCTCTGTAACTCTCTTATCTCTGGTTAAAGCCCATCGAACATCCTTCTTTTAATTATTAGTCAACAGTTGTAAGTGACAAGTGTGCAGCTCAGCTCACTTGGTAGGCAGGTAGGCATCTATCTGCCCCTTGGTTTTTGTTCATTGAATTTAAAGCCAACCATGCTCATATAGAGAAAAGTAAAGATAATCAAATAAACCCCCTAACAGAAATAAAAACTACAATATGTGAGCAACTAGCTAGTGTATTTTTCAAAGCTAATTGTTCTAATTTCAAAAAATAAAATTAGGAAACAAGAGAAGAAGAATAAGATTGTTAGACTCCATACTGAAACTGGTAAAAATGAAGAAAAGTTTGTTTTACAATAAACACCAGCTGTTCAATCTTTTTCTCTTTTCTTCTCTTCTATAGGACTGGGCCAAGTTCTGTTAAAGGCCGACGAGTTTTTAAAAATTAACGGAAGATTCTGTTAACGAAAAAAACGTTAATTATAAAGTTGACGAAAAAAACAAACAAGCATTCATAAAAAACGGAAAATCAAAAAGAAATAACAGATATGTATATTGAATCTATAAATAACAGTGATGTATAAGACTTGTTTTCTATAATTGCATGAAACTTACAGATTATAATATCCCCCCCCCCCCCATAATTTTACATAAAATAATCTTTAACGACTGTTTAATGGCTGGTGCCGTCAACGATGTCCAAAATATTCTCCCAACGCCGTATATCAAATTTAGATCCGTTTAGAATCGTTCAGTTCTTAGTTAAGAAAAAACTGAACCTAACCGTTAACTAACCGTTAAAGAACAGTTAACGAACCGGTAACGAACCGGTAACGAACCGTTCACGAACCGTTAACCAACCGTTAACGAACCGTTTACGAACCGTTTACGAACCGTTTGCGAACCGTTAACAAACTTTTAACGAACCGTTTACGAACAGTTTAAAAAATTTAAACGTGTCCAGCCCTATACACTTATACAGTACACGTAGTTGTTAGAGTTATTAACAATACACTAGGATTACACAGAAAAGACAAAAGCGGTATAATTAAAATTAGCTTAGGTTGAAAATTTACTTTCTAGAACGTTCTTCACTTTCATATGTTAATCTACGGAAATCTAGACAGTTCTAAGAGTTATTCAGCATATTTTAGATTGCCTTGACTTTAGAATATGTAGCAACACCTTGGCCTTTGTTTATACCTTACCTTCTCTCTCTTTAACATTTGTGTAGCCCTATACATATGCATTTCAAAACTGCTACGCGCTTGTTTATAGCCTATGTTAAAAGGAGTAAAAGAAGAAAGTTTCAAAATATTGCTCGATATTTGCATGAGAGCGTGCACATATTGTCCTATAAACAGAATGATCTTGAAATTCAAGAAGTGTTTTTTGGAGGGGTCTGTTTCCAGCATTATTTATAAGAATGTCTCCACAAGTATCTACATTTTTATGTAAAAAACACATTCTATTAGAGTTTAAACTATAATATTGGAAAAAAGAAAAAAAACGATTTTCCCGAAAATTTGGTGGCCTATTTATAAACTACATTTGAAAGTTCAAACAAAAGTTGTTTGTTTTTCCTTTATTACCTGCGGGGTTAACCAAGCTTTTTAGAAAATAGAACTAAATACATGTTTATTAAAACTGTGCAAAATTTGTTCTTAATTCGTCCATACCTTTCTTTTGTTATATTGATTAAAAATTCTTTTTATTAAAGATTTCCTAGACTAGACCAAGGTTATGATGCAAGGAAAGTTAATTGTAGTTGCGTATATTCTGCGTGCGCATAATGAAACCCTAGGCGGATTTTTAAACAAGAATAATTGCATCAGTGTTTGTTTAGAGGTTAAAAGCATTGAATTTTGATAATTTTGATAATTCACATAATAGTTTTCAATGACCAGAATATTTCATTGATTTTTTATGTGAAAGATGGATCCCATGTCAGGCTGTGACAGTACACTGCAGTACAAAAGATGCGTACACCTCTGAAATAACTTTCCTTGCATTATAACCTTCTACTAGCCTATATCTATTGTCTAGGTTCTTTATCTTTTTTTATTTTTTTTAAATTTATTTTTTATTTCAAAATTAATTAACAAAATATATAAGGGCAATATTGATAAGATGCCATACTTTTCATGCTAAACAAATATATCATTTTGGTCAAGCCTTTTTTTAAACTATAAAAACTAGTCTTTTTTCTCATTGTTTTTTGGAAAATATCAAATGACAAGAAAATATTTAATATTTATATTACCCCAAACCTTCAAACTTCAAGGATAGATAGAAATGGAAAAAAACTAAATTTTCTTGATCAAGATTAGATATAAAATAATCTTTTTAGCAAACAAGAAAAATCTATAAAGCTAGTTGAATAAAGAAGATTATATTCCAACTCATTCTTTATGATTATCTTTGTTCTTCTTCTTGCCAAATCCTTCATTGATATGGAAATAATTTCTCTTGATGGAGGAGGGGGGGGGGGGGAATATTAATTTGTATAATTTGTAACGAGGGTGTCCCATTTTTATTCTGAACTATATTACTTCAGGATATTTTTCTAACTCTGAACTTGATAATTTCTTTAATACCCTTTAACGTTAATTTTCGGGCATTTCTTATATATTTTGGCACCCCTTGCTTAGCTCCAACACTCAAATAGCAGAATCGTCAAATTTTGTTAAATGATTTTGCTAAGGTGAATTTAATGCAGGTGCTACAACAACTGTTGTTAGATGAAAATTTGAAATTTCTTAGAGTGAAGTTTTTAGAAAGGCCATCTGAATATTGAAGCTCAATATCTGTTGATATATAAATATATAATTATACATTTATTATACATTCTTCTATATTGTATTTAGATATATTATTCCAACCATTAACTTAATAACTACTATTATTACTCTTCTTATTGTATAATATGCAGGCTTTAACATCTTTATCATACGTCTTATATACATTCTTCTATATTGTATTTAGATATATTATCATACGTCTTATATAATCCATTATAAGAATATTGGGTTACATAAACAAAAGTGAGAAAAACAATGATAAAATTATTTTAGGATAATTTGTTTTGATGGCCCAAGAACAACGAAACTTCATAGACGACCTGAGGCCGAATTTAAAGAATATGGTTGGTTTACCTTAAAATTGTATAAAATTTTTCAAGCTTTAAGCCGGCGCTCAATTGAAACCGGTTTTTGGGGGATTTGAGACACGGCTTAAATTTATTATATTCGGACAATGAAACTCTTCAAAAAAAAGGCATACAAATATAAAGGATTTGAGTCTTTTACACCAACTCTGGTTTTCTAATCCCTATATCTTTGCAATCCAATGTCGTAGACCTTAGATATTTCAAACTTTAAATTTGGTAGATCAAATAATCTAAGTTGAAAATATATATAAGGCTAACATCATCATGTTGCAAAGATTTAGGTATTTGAAAATAAGAGTTTGTGGCTAAAACTCAATTCCCTTGTTTGAAAAAAAGTCTTTTAATGGTAAAACGCTTTTTTTAGATGACACATAATAAGGTTGTAAAATTTCATGACAAATTATCAAACTTTTAAAAAACGGTCTTTGCAACAAACTCAAATTTTATAATCCCTGCGTCTTTGCAACCTGATAGTGTAAACTTTTGTTATTTGATTCAACAGAATTCAGTTTTTGAAATATTTAAGGTCTTCGACATAGGAGGATATTAGATCAGAGTTTTTGGCAAGGATTCAATTCCTTTTGTTGACATAATTTCAAAAATGTTGTTTTCTCGATTTAAAATAGTTTAAAACTGGAGAACCGTGCCTTTAGTTGATGAACAAGCAGTGGGCGGGCTCAGGTTGATATAGGGAGGTTCCTAAAAAAATTCATTTAGGGTGGCTTCTGAAAAAAAAATTTAAAAGGTGGTTCCTAAATAAGTTATCAAGGCGGTTCCTAAATAGTTTCATAAAGTGCAGTTCCTGAAAGTATTTATGTAGGGCGGTTCCTAAAAAAGGTTAAAAGGTGCTGTCCTGAAACTTTTTTAACAGAGCGGTTTCCGAAAAATTTTATATTAGGCGGTTCCTTAAAAACTGTAAAGGGCGGTTTCTAAAAATGTATATAAAGTGGCTCCTAAAATATTATATTGAGTGGGTCCTAAAAAATTTAAATAGGGCGGTTCGAAAAAATCATATAGGGCGGTCCCTAAAAAAAAAATATTGGGCGGTTCCTAAAAATTATATGGTGCGGTTCCTAAAAGATATATAGGGCGGTTTGAAAAAAAGTAGAAAGGGCGATTCCTAAAAAACTATAAAGGGTGGTTTCTAAAAAATGTATAGGGCGGTTCCTAAAAAATGTATAGGGCGGTTCCTAAAAAATGTTTAGGGCGGTTCCTAAAAATTTTTATGGAAGAAGGTTACAAAAATTTCATTATTATTGCATCACAAATTTCAAATTTATTTCGAAGAACATTGTTATTTATTTTCTTTTGTTCAATATTCCAATAATTCAAATTTTTGGTCAGTAATTTTCATGCTTCGAAATGCATCAAAGAATTTGTATTTTTCATTAGCAAAAGTTCATTACATTACATAAAGAAGCTTATATTTTCAGGGATTACAACATTGTGTTCATATATCTGGTGAACCCTGTGAAAAGTTCATTACATTACATAAAGAAGCTTATATTTTCAGGGATTAACAACATTGTGTTCATATATCTGGTGAACCCTGTGAAAAGTTCATTACATTACATAAAGAAGTTTATATTTTCAGGGATTAACAACATTGTGTTCATATATCTGGTGAACCCTGTGAAAAACAAGCCTATATATTCATTTAGGGATGTGCATCGTTATAAACTTCATTTTTAAACATTCAAGGATTTTTTTACTTTTTAGAGGCTTCACAAGAACTTGATATATTCAAAATATAATTATATTTTCTATTTTGCGTTTGCTCGCTTATTTTCATTGCAAAGGTATCGATTAGAAAATCAGAGTTTGATGCAAAAACTCAATTTATATTTTTTTACCAAAGTTTTAAAAACGATGATAAAAATATTTTTTTTAAAAGTTTTGATAATGCACATGGGTCAGGTTAAACATGTTGTCGTGTATAATGACACCAAACTATTCTTAAAGGTAAAAAAACCTGAAATATTTTTAAAACATAACGATACCCAGCCCTTTATACATTCAACTACAGTTTGAGGATTGAAAAAAATAAAATTTGAATATTTTAAACTTGTTTTTGTTTTCTGTACAAACTATAATTTTGCTAAAACTTGTTGAAGTGTTCCAGTTTTCTGGTCCAGGGATTACACAGATAGAAACTACAGTTAATGTTCTAACTTTACCCTTTAGAACACAGAACATGGGAAATATATTCTTAAAGGGACTGTTGGCGTTTTTCAAGAGACCCTCCATTTCAAGAGAAACAGCTCGATTCACAACGGTACCCTTTAAATCTTAGTTATTCTAGCCGTACCCGTGCTTGGTCTTAAATTAAGATTTTAGCTAAAGTGCCCGGCGTGGCCCGTGGAATTTTGAAAAATTCGAAACTTTTTTTTGGCAAATAAAAATTAACAAAATTATTGATATATCCCTTATTTTTGCTCGCAGGCAAATATATAATTATTACCAATGTGATTCGGGCCAGTACATCTTTATATGGAGGCTCACTCTTTAAATTTTCTTTAAAGTGATATGACACAGGGTTTGACACAAGGAGTATGGAATAGAAGGGAGATACAACTGACGCGGCCCGCTCTATCATATGATTTATACATGCTTTGCATACGGTACTCCATTTGAATAAGAAATATTCAGAATAAGTTATTGTATACGCGGTAATTGTACATCATACAAATATTTCTTATACAAATGGAGTACCGTCTGCAAAGCATGTATAATCATATAGTAGGGCGGGCCACGCCAGTTATATCTCCCTTCTATTTTATACTCCTTGGTTTGACACAATTCGTAATATTTTATGTCAAACCGTTTTTTCAAAACAGCGCACATACCCTTTAACACTATAATACCCATTGAGTGTAGGGATACTTTTTATGCTTTCCTTTCTTTTGTAATGTTCTTCTTAGAAAGTTTTTATTTTATTGGGATACAAGGATTTATCTTTGTAAAGAAACCCTGGACAATTCCGTGGCAGATTTCTAGATTTAATTGGAGCAAAAACTTAGGTAATTTCTTTTGAGTAAATCTTAATGTAAAGGAACTGAGATCTTGCCACAAATTCTTATATTCAAATCCCTATATCTTTGCAGCCTGATGGTGTAAACCTTTGATTTTTTAAACTTAGACTATTTCATCTTACAGAATTCATAGTTTGAAAAAGTAAAGGTCTTCGAAATCAGATTTTAAAGATAATCAGAGTTTGCTTCCAGAATTCAATCCCTTTTTTCTATTGACAATTCTTTAAACCTTAATATTAACTTTTTAATCTTGAAAATTGATAATTTTCAATAAAAGTGACTTGTTGATTTCTGCTACAAAACAATGAGAAAATCATCAGAAGTTGGCACTTTTTAAGCTTATACATCCTTGATAAGATAAAGGTTGGAAGGATGCTAGGTACTTTCCCAAAGAATTTTTCCCAAGCGGCAGCTTCCCAAGGGTATTTTCCCAAGTGACAACTTCCCAAATATCCAATTTCCAAAGCGGCAAATTCCAAAGTCTGTCCTAGCCGCCGCGCTCCGCCATCTAGCCGCAGTACCCGGCCCCCAAGCCTATCATAGCTGCAGCGCTCGACCCTTAGCAGCTTGCGGCGCCTCAGAAGGCCTAACCTAATCTTTAGAAAGTTGCCGCTTGGGAAAATGTACATTTGGGAAATTGACACTTGGTAAATTGTCACTTGGGAAAATGCCCTTGGGAAAGTACCTAACACCGGTTTGAAGGAATCCTAGCTCAGTGAAGATTTAAATTGAGTATCACTTGAAATTACAACTATAATCCCTTCACAACAGTTCATCATAATTTTTAAAAAAAATACAGAGAAAATAGAAATTTAGAAAAATAAATGTTTGTGTAAATGGGATTAAAAATTGTCTAATCAAATCTGAAATATAATGATCCCATGCTTGTTCTTCAAATTCCTAACTTTATTCTAACTTTTAAACTATTATTATAACTTTTAACTATTAGCTTTACTAGAAGTAATATTTGGAATTCTATATAATTCAAAATTGAACAAAAATCTTAATGTTACCTCAAGAAATGTAATTGTAAGGAATCTCCTCTCAGGAACACCTTCAGGAGGTTTTAAAGCATTTCCTGGCCATACAATATCCTGGACAAAATAAGAAGGGTTTAAAGCATTTCCTGGCCGTGCAATATCCTGGATAAAATAAGAAGGTTTAAAGGATTTCCTGGCCATACAATATCTTGGACAAAATAAGAAGGTTTAAAGGATTTCCTGGCCATACAATATCCTGGACAAAAAAAAGAAGGTTTTAAAGCATTTCCTGGCCATACAATATTCTGGACAAAATAAGAAGGTTTTAAGGATTTCCTGGCCATACAATATCCTGGACAAAATAAGAAGGTTTAAAGGATTTCCTGGCCATACAATATCCTGGACAAAATAAGGGGGTTTAAAAGGATTTCTGGCCATACAATTTCCTGGACAAAATAAGGAAGTTTAAAATGATTTCCTGGCCATACAATATCCTGGACAAAATAAGAAGGTTTAAAGGATTTCCTGGCTATGCAATTTCCTGGACAAAATAAGAAAGTTTTAAGGTTTTCTCGACCATACAATCCTGGACAAAATAAGGAGGTTTTAAAGGGTTTCCTGGCTATGCAATATCCTGGACAAAATGAGAAGGTTTAAAGGAAATTGTTGCCCGCATCATTCTCTATAACTTTCTTATATTAATTATCGATCATTGTGAATTATTTCTTTGAAGTGTGATGTTGTAGACTATTGATATTTCAAACAATAAATTCTATTAGATCAACTAATTAAAGTTTGAAATATCAAGATAACACCACCAGGTTGCAAACATAAAATCGTTAGTAAATTGTAGTTAGTGGCTTCAATTCCTCACCATCGAACTGCTTACAGAAACTTAAAGACAGAATATTAGGGATGTAAAAGTTTTAGTTATCTTTATATTCATAATTTTGAACGATGTCTTTAAAATTTCGAAATGCCTTTTACATAATCACAAACAAAATGGTTGAATGTATTCTACCATATAATATAATACTGATTGAAAAACTAAACAAAATGGTTGAATGTATTAATATAATACTGATTGAAAAACTAAACAAAATGGTTGAATGTATTCTACCATATAATACTGATTGAAAAACTAAACAAAATGGTTGAATGTATTCTACCATATAATATAATACTGATTGAAAAACTAAGAAAATATGGCTGTTTAAAGGGAATGTAGACAAATTTACAAGTGATTTTGTATTAATAAACCTGCATTTTCCATTTACAACAGTACCCTAAGGCCGAATTTAAAGAATTTGAGCCGCGACTTAAATTTGAGACGCGGTTCAAAAAATGTTGGTTCCACTTAAAGCCGCATTCATTGTTTCAAGATTTAATCCAGCGCTCAATTGAAACCGGTTTTTGAGACGCGGCTCAAATTTATAAAATTCGGACTCTATTTATCTTTGTCCGAGCAAACATGTTTTGTTTTTTCTTCTGAAAATTGATTATTTGCAATTGCATTTCTATAGAAAGTGACTTGTGAATTTACGCTAAAGGGTACCGTTGTGAATTGAGCAAACAACGCTATTTAGACTGAGGATCATTTGAAATTGTGTGTACAGTCCCTTATAAGAAAAAGAGGATATATTACCTTTATGTTAATCTTCTCAGCATTAAGAGATTTCCAAACCCCAATCTCTTCCCACATCATTGCACCATCCTCTACCATACCCTGGCCTCGAGGCCGTAGGTTCATAACCTCAAATATTAAACATGCACCATCCTATACCATACATTGGCTTTGAGGTCGTAGGTTCATAACCTCAAATATTAAATATGAACCATCCTCTACCATACCCTGGCTTTGACGTCGTAGGTTCATAACCTCAAATATTAAACATGCACCATCCTATACCATACATTGGCTTTGAGGTCGTAGGTTCATAACCTCAAATATTAAATATGAACCATCCTCTACCATACCCTGGCTTTGAGGTCGTAGGTTCATAACCTCAAATATTAAACATGAACCATCCTCTGCAATACCCTTGCCTCTAGGCCGTAGGTTCATAACCTCAAATATTAAACATGCACCATCCTCTACCATACATTGGCCTCGAGGCCGTAGGTTCATAACCTCAAATATTAAACATGAACCATCCTCTACCATACCCTGGCCTCGAGGTTGTAGGTTCATAACCTCAAATATTAAACATGAACCATCCTCTACTATACCCTGGCCTCTAATATGTGGGTTCAAAACCTGAGATATTAATTCAATTACTACTAAAATACACACATTGAGCGTATCTTGAAAAAGCAGTAATTGTAGGTACAGGGTTATTCACAAAGGATGAGACTTCAGAGACGACTGTATAGAATTTATACTGTTTGTTTCTTTATATTCCTAATTCCCTGGAACTGAAAACTTTGAGATCGACGTTTATTAAAAGTTCCATGTCGTCTTTACAGTCTAACTCTTTGTGGGTAACCTTGCAAGAGACAGCCTACAGGGTGTCCCAATAAACATGGGAATAAAAAACATATTAATTCCCATTTTTATTGGTACACCCTCGGTCTAATAATTTCCAGAACTCCTGCATATTCGCCAATTATCTTTAACATGTGTAGAACATGCATTAAAGGGACTGTGCGCAAAATTTCAACTGACCTTCTATTTAAAGAGGGGTCTGCTCGATTCACAACAGTACCCTTTAAACCTTTGACTGCATGATCAAGGATGAAAACCTTTTTTAAATTTGTTTTTATAAATCTATAAAAATCTTATAATTGCTGAACATTTTGTTTTATAATTAAGAAATATAAACATTCACTTTCTAGAAGTGGCAGAATATAAACATTCACTTTCTAGAAGTGGCAGAATATTCACTTTCGAATTTTTGGACACAGAATGCAGAAGTTGTATGTCCTTGATGATCAGTCAAAGGTTTAAAGGGTACCGTTGTAAATCGGGGAAGATCACTTGAAATTACGCTTACAGTCCCTTTAAATTTATTTTTCTGGTGAATTGAGTAGATAAGATTTCATAATCTAGGGTTAACGAACCAAATATGAATTTTTAACACTAATTTGTCTTTTTTAAGCCTCTGTTTTCAGTTTTTTCAAAATATCTAACCCCCCGGCCCCCCTCCTTTAAAAAACGCTTTTTGGGGGTTTATCATTATGGAAAAAATAAAAAAGAAATTCTGTTTTTCCCACAAACGCTGATTTTCTTATCCCTGTATATTTGCAAACATTGCCTTAGTCCTTAGATATTTCAAACTATACATTCTGTCAGATCAAATTATCTAAGTTTGAAATAATAAAGCTATAAACTATGATGCTGCAAAGATATAAGGACTAAACATTTTTGAGTTTTTTAGCAAGATATCAATTTCTTTTGGAAACAAATCTAATGGTGTAGACCTTTGATATTTTAAACTAATTCTGAGGCCGGGTTAAGGCATCAGGCTTCAATACCATCAGTTTAAAATATTAGAGTTTGAGGCAAAAAATCAGATTCTTTCCATGCTTTTTATTTTTTTCTTGGCTTAGGCTGAGGTTCCTCCTAGGTTCTCAGTTTCTGCTGTTTATTGTGTTATAAATAATGTTTAATCCTCCTCATTACATAATTCTTGGCAGCCATATCTTAAACTATAAATATTGTTTAAAATCTAGCGCCATGGGAATATTTATACATCAGTTGCACTTTATTATTCAATTTACTTATCTTATTAAGATTCCCCATTTCTGAAATTTTAGTTAACTGAAAAACTATTTCAATCTAAAACCATAATGTTGAAAGTTTGAGTAACAAATTTCTAAAGATAGAGAATTTTAAATGTGAAAAAATTTTGAAAATTTAATTCAATATTGAAAATGGTAATCATTCAACCTTTAATAAAATTGCTGATGTTAATAATAAAATTATGAAATAATGAAAATCACCTTAAGCTCGACATTTTTCAATGATCCATCGTTGTTGAATTCGAAATCTTGGTCCGACCTAAAAAGGAAAAATTTAAGCCAGTTTGACCCCTGGGAGAAATGCAACAAACGAACCAAAAACTAACCAAAATTATTAACAACAAACACAAAAACATAGTTCAATAGAACTCAGGGAAGCTGAATGTATAAAACAATAATTAACAATAACTGATAGAACACTAGATGTCGTCATTTCAAGATTTAGAGGTATTTCATTCACAATAACCCTATACTGAAGCCCAAAGGAGTTACGCGCATGCTGCGTTGAATGACAAGAAAAAGAGAGAGCATGCGCGAAACTTCTTTGAGCTTCTCTCTCAGGGTTATTGTGAACGAAATACCCCTAAATCTTGAAAAGACGACATCTAGTGTTCTAACAGTTCTTGTTAATTAATCTATGAAATCTTGAAAAGACGACATCTAGTGTTCTTACAGTTATTGTTAATTAATCTATGAAATCTTGAAAAGACGAAATCTAGTGTTCTAGCTGTTAATTAATCTATGGGATACAACTTAAGCTATAAAAACTAATTCTTTTCGACCCGTCAGTCAAGGATTTTTATTATAAACTACTAACAAATAAATGCACGCGTTGTCCCTGGAATTTTTTAAAACCCCGAGTACCATGGGTTTCCTCAAAAATGTGAGCCAATTTGGTTCAACCGTTTGGTAAGCTAAATTTCCTTTCGTTTCGATAAAAAAGTGGAAGGAAACGTTGTTTTTATCGTTTGAAAAGTCTCTTTTGTAGAAAAACCACAATTAAAAATAATGATTTTTTTAAAATCTTTAACACATATATCTAATTTAAATTTGATCAGACAACGCTTTTCAAAAATGAACATTGTACAGCCATTAATAAAACTCTTAGAGCTGGCGATATTCTTCAATTTCTCCGTTATAAGGGTTATGAGAGTTTTAAAAAACTAAAATGAAAAAAGAAAATTGGAAAAAATGAAAATAAAAAAATCTCTAGTTTGAGTGGGATCAAATAAAAAACCTGTACACTTAAAGGACTAGAAATTCAATCTTTTTTATATTTTTATTTTATATTTTATATATTTTATATATATATATTTTTATATATTTTATATTTTTGGTCTGAATTCAAGTTTTATTGCTTGTGTACGTTTAGACTTTTCATCAAAATAATTCAAAATCTTTTGATAAAAGACCGTGATTTTTAAAACCTTTAAACTATTTAAAAGTCATTTTTAGTTCAATAATTTTATTATTTAGCGCTCCAAATAATTTTTTGTTACAAACCGTAACTTTTGAATGAGCAGAAAGCGTTAAAATCCTAGCAAAACTTCCAAACTCGAATCCGCAACATAAACGTTTAACAATTAAGCTCGTAATTCATGACAAACGGTTGGCTTGTATTATTGCTTTCTCACGTTGGCTAAGATAAGCGAGAGCCCAATTCTAATTGCTCAGAATTTTAGATCATATCCTGAAGATGTTTACTTAATCCGTGGAACTATTAGTGCTAGATAAATGGATTAACTATTCAAAAGTTCAGACCTCTTGTACATATTTTATATTTTTTAGATTTTTAAATATTATAAAATTTTTTTTTTTATTTTTACAATCCTACAATTAAGGATTGTGGATTCGGTTTTATAATGTTTGATCTAATTTAGTTTTTATTGGAAACTGAAGAAGTTCAAGCTGATCTCGAAATCCACTTATAATCTTTTCAAAATAGGTCTCAATTGATAAGGGGGGGATGGAGGAGGAGGGGGGAGAAAGGGGGGAGGGACCGACGAGGAAAACGTTAAAAATATCGAATCTAGGAATAAACACATAAAATGAAAAAAGGGGGTTAGAAGAGTTTGTAAATATTAAAATAAACCTTTATTTTAGTTAAATGACCTCTTAACCTTAACACCCCCCCCCCCACATGATGTTGTCCTTAGAGTTGAGATAGGGGAGTGTGATGCATGTCCCTAGTCCAACTTTTCAAGGCCTGCTTATTTTGTCCTTCGAGTTATGATATGGGAGTGTGATGCATGTCCCTAGTCCAACTGTTCAAGGCCTGCTTATTTTGTCCTTAGAGTTATGATATGGGAGTGTGATGCATGTCCCTAGTCCAACTGTTCAAGGCCTGCTTATTTTGTCCTTAGAGTTATGATATGGGAGTGTGATGCATGTCCCTAGTCCAACTTTTCAAGGCCTCATTCAAAAATTAGACCTGTAACATGGTTAGGGTGCAAGGGAGGATTTTAAAAATTAGACCTCTAACATGGTTAGGGTGCAAGGGAGGATTTTAAAAATGTTCAAAAAGTTCGTCTGAAAAATGTTCAAAAATAATTATTTTTAATTTTGACAAATATTAACATGTGACACATGTTAATGCATCCATTTTTAAAGGGCTTTTGAAATATATAAATTTTAGTTATTTCTGATTTTTTAAACACCGACCCGCGCGCCGTTTGACTGTCCTCCACCCTACCCTATGCATAAAAAAAGACTTTCCAAAACTATGATGTTCCCAACTATGATGTTCCCAACTATGATGTTCCCAACTATGATGTTCCCAACTTTGATGTTCCCAACTATCATGTTGTTCCTAACTATCATGTTCCCAACTAACTATGATGTTCCCAACTATCATGTTCCCAACTATGATGTTCCCAACTATGATGTTCCCAACTATGATGTTCCCATTCCCAACTATCATGTTCCCAACTATCATGTTCCCAAATATCATGTTCCCAACTATCATGTTCCCAACTATGATGTTCCCAACTATCATGTTCCCAACTAATGTTCCCAACTATGATGTTCCCAACTATGATGTTCCCAACTATGATGTTCCCAACTATGATGTTCCCAACTATGATGTTGAAAAAGTGAAGAAGTTTCAGCGTTCTAATGTCAGCCGTTTTTAAGTTATTTAGACAAAACCACAGAGGGGGGAGTGGAACCCCCGCCCCCTCCACTCAGCCGTGGTAGGGGAGGTAGGGTTAACAACAACGGCCATTTAAATCTTTGACTGATGTTTTCCTGTCTGAATTTGATAATCTTCAAATTCAGTTTCTCTTTTTCAGTGGCAAGCAACTATAACAAAAAAGAAAATTGACAGAATTCTATACGATTTATTCCCTTAGTACCCTTTAAAGGGAGCGTTTCTTGAAATTAGGTGAACAGTCCCTTTAGCGCGGGTCTAATTTACTAAAATAACAGAACTGTATAATGTATTTATGTTGTTCTGACTCCCCTTACTTAAATATATATATCTATTCTGTTTATACAAATAAGTGTGCAAGTCATTTCTTTAGAAACAGATTTTTTGACTTGAAGGATAGAACTAAAATATTTAAAGGTTTTCTTAATAGAGGAGGAGCGCAGAAATTACAAAATTGGGGTTTTCAGGATTTAATAATAAAGAGAAAGGTAGAAACAGAGTTTAGGAATTGAAAGGGATATTTATAGTAATTACCTAGACCCTCTTATCTTGACTGCTGCTAGATATTTGTGGAGCTTCCTGCCCCCAGGCCATTTTACAGCTCCATGATCCTTAGATGAGGTAGTTTTTTTTGGAATCAAAATTATATTGATGGAATTAAATGATTCAACAGAACACCCAGATCAACGTAAAAGGTTGACTTGAAAGGTTGACTTGAAAGGTTGACTAGAAAGGTTGAAAGTTTGACTTGAAAGGTTGACTTAACAGGTTGACTTGAAAGGTAGACTTGAAATGTTGACTAGAATGGTTGACTGGAAGGTTGACTAGAAAGGTTGAAAGGTCGACTGGACAGGTTGAAAGGTTGACGATAAAGGTTTAAGGGTTGACTTGAAAGGTTGACTTGAATGGTTGACTTGAAAGGTTGACTAGAAAGGTTAAAAGTTTGACTTGAAAGGTTGACTTAAAAGGTTGATTTGAATGGTTGACTAAAAAGGTTGACTAGAAAGATTGAAAGGTTGACTTGGAAGGTTTACTTAAAGGTTGACTTAAAAGGTTGACTTGAAAGGTAGACTTGAAAGGCTGATTTAAATGGTTGACTAGAAAGGTTGTTTAGAAAGGCTCACTTGAAAGGTTGACTTGAAAAGTTGACTTGAAAGGTAGACTTGAAAGGTTGACTTGAAAGGTTGACTTGAAAGGTTGACTTGAAATGTTGACTTGGAAGGTTGACTTGAATGGTTGACTTTAGAGATTGGCCTGAAAGGTTGACCTGAAAGATTGACCTGAAAGGTTGACCTGAAAGGTTGACCTGAAAGGTTGACCTGAAAGGTTGACCTGTATGGTTGACCTGAAAGGTTAAACTGAAAGATTGACCTGAATGGTTGACCTGAAAGATTGACCTAATGGTTGACCTAAAAGGTTGACTTTAAAGGTTGACATGAATGGTGACTTGAACGATTTTCTTTGATGATTTTAAAAGGCTTGGCTTTAAAAAATTGTAATTATTTTGCTGAACCTGTTAAAAGTTTTATTAATCCAATTTTTGCAAAAATATTTATGATTTGCCCTTTTTTTAAAGTAAATTGAAGAAATATATTCTTATTTTGGTTTTTACCTGACAGGACACATTGGGTTGAAGCATCTCTAGTTTCTCTAGGTTTATACAAATAGATTATCTATCTATCTATCTATCTATCTATCTATCTACCTATATGTCTATCTATCTATCTATCTATCTATAAGTCTATCTCTATATCTGCTTATCCATCTATCTATCTATCTATCTATCTATCTATCTATCTATCTATCTATCTATCTATCTATCTATCTATCTATATATCTATCTATTATCTATCTATCTATCTATCTATCTATCTATATATCTATCTGTCTATCTATCTATCTTTCTTTCTATCTATCTATCTATCTCTCTCTCTATCTGTTTATCTATCTATCTCTCTATCTCTCTATCTGTTTATCCATCTATCCATCTATCTATCTATCTATATCCCTGAGTCCGGTATTCTATCTAGATACAGATTATTGAGTCCGTGGGAGAACACGCTGAGCGCTGTATTGATCTCTCTGCAACACAAAACACAATCTTTTTTTAATTTTTTGTCTCAAATTTTTTTAAACCCGGATTAAATTGTAGCCGACAAATGTTATTTTTTGTTGAAAATTTTTTCTAACTCGTATTGAATTGTACCTGACAAAATGTCATTGTTGAAAACTTTTTTTAAAAAAATCCTAAATTGAGCTAAGCCAGTAAATTTTGTTGCAAATCTTTGAAATTAAAAATAAAAGTGTTTTTTTTGTTGCAAATCTTTAAAACCCAGAAATAAGCTGCACCGAAGAAAGTGTCGTTTTTGTTACAAACTTTTAATTACCGAAAATTAAGGTATATTATTTTTTTTTCAAAACTTTAAAAAAAGAAATTAAGTGGACCCGGGAAAATGTCAATTTTGTCATAACTTAAGATAAAAATTATTTAACAGACACTAAAGATTTAAAGGGTAATGTTGGTGTGTTTGGGGGGATGGTGGTTGGTTTCTGGGGGGGAAGGGAATTTCAACAAAGGTTGGACAAAGTTCAGATTTTTTCAAATATGGTGTAACTAAGCATAAGGTGGAGAAAGAACCAGAAATGAGAAATTTAAAACAATGAGTATAAATTTGTATTCTCCTTTTACCCCCTATTTTCCACTTCAACAAAATCAAAAATGAGATTTAGAGCTATAGGCAATAATATACAGTGAATCCCAGATATAGACCGTCATAAGTTTTTTGATAATTCTAAAGAAACTTCTTTTTTATTTTTAATTGAAGGTAAATTAATAGATCTGAAATATGAATGCAATTGATATAATAATATTAAACTCATTTTTCCGCGGCATTTGATCTTAAATATGCAATACGACATTATAAAAAATCTCTTGCTATGTATTCATATTTTTGGGATTTACTGTATTAAATATCAAATTTTATGTGAATTAACTTGACTAATTTTTTTTGTATTGATTAATAGAATGCATTGAAGACCTAAGAAGCCCAAAGGAGTTTCGCGCAGTCGGTGTAGAATTACAAGACAGAGAGAGCCTGTTCTACGCCGCCTGCGCGAAACTCCTCTGGGCTTCTGCCTCAGGGTTATTCTGAACTAGTTTCATCCAAATCTTGAAAAGACGACATCTACTGTCCTATCTGTTATTTTAATTTATCTATGGTGACATGTCTGATTCACAATGGTACACTTTAAACCCTTGTCTAGGAAGCTGTTTATCAAATAAAAATATTTCAATTTGGGTTTTTTATAAAATGACTTACGCATTTTTGCCGCTGAAATAATAAGACAATTTTGTGATGCATCATTGATCTCTTTTCAAGATATAAAAACACAATTTCTCCCTTCTTCCTACTCGGTTAAAGGTTTAAAGGATATATTTTAGCATCGTACATGCCACTTTAACAATGGTGGTTCCCTTAAAATTAAGTTCTATAAAAGTCTCTTTAAATAGGTTTTGTAATTAATAGAAAGAGTTGTATCTGTTCCCTGATAAGTGCGAGAGTATCGGTAGGAAAATGAACACCTGACAGAAGAAATATCAGAAATTGAAAGCAATCGTGTTCTGGTCACAAAATACTTCCTATATCTTTGCAACCTGATGGTGTAAACCTTTGACATATCAAACTTAGGCTCTTTTATCTAACAGAATTTAAAGTTTTAAATTTCAATGGTCTACATTTAAAATATCTGGTTTAACGGCTAAATGATTAGCAATTAAACGGTTAAACATAGAAACGGTGAAACGATTAAATGGTCAAACGGACAAACTGTTCATCAGTTAATTTAATAAACGGCACACTGGGTAAATGATTAAACATTTAAACGGTTACACAATTAAACCGTTAAACGATTAACCAATTTAAACGGTATAAGGGTAAATTGGTCAAATGGTTAAACGTAATTATCCTTTTCCTTTTAAATTAATTTTTATTTGATTTATCTTTAAAGTAATATAAAATTTTAGTGTTTCAAAAATAATAGTTAATAATAATGATAAACATTATAACGCTCTATTTAATATAGAAATCATTAATAAAAATCACTTATCTAAAATTTCACTTTTTAAATTCAATAAACATAATTATGAGAACAAAAAAACTGTGATAACGAATAACTTAGATTTTTGCTTCTTTTCACTTTATGTTGAATGTGTTTATTTGTTTACTAAAAACTTGTTTTGATGAAATTGAACCCCTGCGTTAACAAAATGATTTATCATATATTCAAAAGCTTTAATGTTTTTACAAAAAGAAACCCCAATATGGTTTCAAAACTATCAAATATATACCAAAACATTTAGAAAATTTGTAATTTGTAAAATGTTTATGAATATTATGCTTATTAGATTAGATATGAAATATTGTTTTTTGGTCAAATAAAAAAAAAAAAAATTAAAATTTCTGATTTTACTTTCCTAGCATTCCAGCAGGAAAAGAAGGAGGAGCTTCATTTAGTTCTCCTTAAAAAGTTATTTTAAACAACAAATTTTAGTTTGAAACCTGTACTAGAACTGTGCTCTAAGCACGATACATCACACAGATCCAGACAGCTATGAAAAGACTGGGTCGACTTTAACCTAACTAACTCACATATCCATTTCTTTAGCCTAAAACATGTTCAGTTTATAACTATAAAGCATTTGGTTTAAGCCTCAATTAAAGTACTTGTCAAAGTTCTCACAGATTTGTGCCTGAAAGCTTGCAACCTTTAAATTACTGTGATCACATAAATCTTACTACAAGGGGAGGATTCATTTGGTGCAAGGTACTTTGCAAGGAAAGTTATTTTAGAGGTTTACGCATTTTTTGTGCTGCAGTGTACTGTCTCTGGGCGGAAAAGTAAACACAAGACAGATGTCACAGCTTGACATGGAATTCATTTTCACAAAAATAATCTATGAAATATTCTGGTCAAAGGAAACTATTATGTGAATTTTCAAAAAATGCTTTTAACCTCCTTTGATACTAAACGAACACTGATGCATCTATTCTTATTTACAAAGTCCGTCCAGAGAGAACTGGTTTCAATATGTACGCAGAGTATACGCGACCGCAATTAACTTTCCTTGCATTACAACCTTGATTTAGTGTACAGTCTCGGTGCAGTGTCAGTCTGTACTGTACAGTGTACGATGTAAAACCTAGCCTATAGCTGCATAAAAATTGGAGTATCTCAAATACAACGGAGTTTTCAGTGATACGTACCACCAACAAATATATAGAACAGGAACGCCCAACTCAGATATACGCAAATTGTGTACTGTACACTGTGGGAGGAATGTAAACAAATACAATGCCCCCACAGCAGTTGAAGAGAAAGGATTAAACACTGATAAACAGAGTGATGTTACAGTCAAAAACAAAAGAAACTAGTTAATATATTAAGTTAGTGCGGATACAAGTTTTGATCGCCTCCCACTGCAGTACACAAATTTGACGCATTAGATATGGCGGTTCCTGGTCTATATATTTCTTGCGTACCACTTACAATTATAAGTAAATGTAAAAACTGGTTCGGAAAAATACATTTTTTAATCTACTATGTACAAAACTTAGTATAGGGGGGGGGGGGAAATATGTACATTTTTACAATTTTTTTATAAAATATAAATACAAGAGTGTAGGCATTTTTTCAAAGAGTTGCAGTATTCTCTTTTATTTACTGTTTTTCAGTAACTATCCAAATATACCTAAAACAGGCGCAGTATCTATCCAAAGGAAATAAGTCTTTGCCACAAATACCAACTTTCTAATACCTATATATCTACAACCAAATGATGTAAACCTTTGATATTTCAAACTTACATTGTTTGATGTAGCAGAAGTCATAGTTTGAAATATCTAAGGTTTACACCATTGGGTTGTTAATATATAGGGATTTAAAATTCAGAGTTTGTGGCAAAAACTCAATTTCTTTACCTATTACAGGCTGAGTAACTATCCAAATTTACCTATTACAGGCTGATTAACTATCCAAATTTACCTATTACAGGCTGAGTAACTATCCAAATTTACCTATTACAGGCTGAGTAACTATCCAAATTTACCTATTACAGGCTGAGTAACTATCCAAATTTACCTATTACAGGCTGAGTAACTATCCAAATTTACCTATTACAGGCTGAGTAACTATCCAAATTTACCTATTACAGGCTGAGTAACTATCCAAATTTACCTATTACAGGCTGAGTAACTATCCAAATTTACCTATTACAGGCTGAGTAACTATCCAAATTTACCTATTACAGGCTGAATAACTATCCAAATTTACCTATTACAGGCTGAGTAACTATCCAAATTTACCTATCACAGGCTGAGTAACTATCCAAATATAGTTTTTATCCGTGAGCCCCAACTTTTTAGCCTTCAAAATACAATTTTCTATTATATATTAAGATGGATCTTAAACGTTTTAAAAATGACTTGTTTATTCTAAAAGGAACTGTAAGCTTAAATTAATCAACCCTCCATGCAAAGATGGCAATGTCCGATGTACAACGGTACCCTTGATCAAAAATGTTGAAGATAACGTCGTTTTATGACTTGAAAAGTGTTTAATTTCTAAACTGCTTCTTCTAAAAAAGTAAAGTGCAATTGTTTTTTTGTTTTTTGCAGAGAAACCACAAACAAAAATTAACAGTTAAAAAGAACAAAAACATAGATATCTAATTCACACTTTTAATTTATTGTTGTAAATCGGGCATTACATGTCTATTTTGCATGCAGAGTTACTTGAAATTAGGCGTACAGTCCCTTTAAGTCATTTTATGCTCGCCTGGAAAAGAACTTTTCGCTTGAAACTAGTTTAAGGTACAATCAAAGTATTGCGAGAACCAGTAAAAGGAAGAAGGCTTTTAAAGTAACTACACCAAATATACCTTAAATATTGCTTTAATGTCGTCGTCGTATTCCACAGTGTTCTTGTCTCGCTTTACCTAACATTGAAAATCCGCGAGAAAATTTTTGTTTACAACCCGGTGATTGCCTGTATAGGCTGTACGAGAAAAACAAAGTTATATAAATCACCGACAGTTAGATTAAACATTTTATCGTTGATGAAGACTTTTCAAAACAGTCCCATTACAAAACAAAAATGACATTATTGATAAAAAATTTTAAAATCTAAAATTGTTGTTCCTCTGTCATAATATGTTCTGCTTCCTTTCGCGTGCAGTACATCAGGAATATGCGGCTCTCAGTTCGTTCCAACTAAAACAATAACAGACATTAAGAAATGCAGTACACTAGGAATATCCGGATCTATGTTCGTTCCAACTAAAACAATAACAAACATTAAGAAATGCAGTTCACTAGGATTATCCGGATCTATGTTCGTTCCAACTAAAACAATAACAAACATTAAGAAATGCAGTTCACTAGGATTATCCGGATCTATGTTCGTTCCAACTAAAACAATAACAAACATTATATTTGGTATCGATTCGAAGATCTAAAGTTTTGAGTGGAATATCGTTTATCTTGAACGCTTGATCTTGATATCCAATGTAGACACTTTTAAATTTGAGGTCCTCCTGATCCCTTAATTAATTTTATTACAGAAGGTTATGAACACCATGGGATGTAGTAGAGAAATATAATTAATACGTAGGTCTGCATGAGATTCATAAAATTTATATCAACTCTCATTATGCATGATATCCTACACATCCAGTTTCTAACCTGTTTCATATCCTCTACTGGATTCTCAGTATGCATGATATCCACTATATATCCAGTTTATTACCTTTTCATATCCTGTACTGGATTCTCAGTATGCATGATATCCACTATATCCAGTTTATTACCTTTTCCATATCCTGTACTGGATTCTCAGTATGCATTATATCCACTATATATCCAGTTTATTACCTTTTTCATATCCTCTACTGGATTCTCAGTATGCATGATATCCACTATATATCCAGCTTATTACCTTTTTCATATCCTCTACTGGATTCTCAGTATGCATGATATCCACTATATATCCAGTTTATTACCTTTTTCATATCCTCTACTGGATTCTCAGTATGCATGATATCCACTATATGAAGCTTTTTCTCCGAATATTTTGGATCGTTTGTTATATCACGCAGTCCCTGTAGAAAAAATATAAGATGTTTGAACAAAAAAAAGTTGTTTTTCTTTTTATACATGATAAAAGTTATAAATATAGAGAACAACATGTTTTTCGCGGATTCAAAAAACCCCATCTATGCATGCAAAGGTTGACCTTTTTAATTTAAATGATTTACGGCTGACACCAAAGGCACCTGACCTGTTTCATTATCATCATCTTTTATATGTTGAGGAAGGTACAATTGTAAAATTGGTCGGACAGGTACAGACTATGTACAGTACTGTACTGAGCTATACTCACCTGTGTAAAAGAAAGATGGCCTCCGATTTTAGTGGTTAATATAGAGAAGGTGTGCCATGAGTATCTTATCAATAACGACACCATTGCCTTCAGCCAAAATTTTAGATTTTTAGTAAAAAATATAATTTTCGGATTTTTGTATTGTCTGCTTGTTAGTTCAGTTTCAAACTCGATAAATATGTAAAAAAAAGTATAGAACGTTTTTTTGCTCATTTTTAAACGTTCAAGTTTTTTTTACTTATAAGTGTCTCAACAATAAAAATGTGGAACTGACACCTACTTTATTTACTCATATAATATTTGGATAATCATCAACATCAAATTATAAAATAGATTATGAAACATTTCAGCCTGGCACGAGATATTAGGCTAGAATGAAAACTTAGGAAAACGTTGTACAGTATATTGTAGTTGTTCTATCTAGACTTGCACTTTGCAGTAAGGTACAAAAATGACAAATATAAGTTTTTACTTTTCAAATTGATTATATTTTTAAACCAAGATGACAAGTTTTAAAACAGTAAATCAAGAATTTCCTGTGCTTGATGTTTAACTGTGGGTGCAAGTTGAAGTTGCAGTTTATCTGTCGCTGTCGACTAAAGATAGAAATAAAAAAAAATAAAAGAACTGTCGTCTTCAATCTAAATTTTATTTTAAAATGCCGCGAGGCATTTTGTGAGTTATAAATATTTTAATTGATTAATCTCTAAAAATGTTTAGTTTTTTATATTACTTTTCAAATTTAGAAATACAAAGGAATTTCAAACTCAAATCTGACATTATTAATATTAAAGGTCTTCGACATTTGGTTGCAAAGATAAAGGAATTATAAAATCAGAGTTTGTGGTAAATACTCAAATCCTCAGTTTTTACGATTCTTGCGTCAGAACTTGCAACATTTGGAGCACGTACTGCGATTATATTATACTACTTTGTAGCACTGCGATTATACTACTTTGGAGCACTGCGATTATACTACTTTGGAGCACTGCGATTATACTACTTTTGAGCCCTGCGATTATACTACTTTTGGAGCACTGCGATAATACTACTTTGGAGCACTGCGATTTTACTACTTTGGAGCACTGCGATTTTACTTCTTTGGAGCACTGCGATTTTACTACTTTGGAGCACTGCGATTATGCTACTTTGCAGCACTGCGTTTATACTACTTTGGAGCACAGCGATTATACTACTTCGGAGCACTGCGATTTTACTACTTTTGAGCACTGCGATTATACTACTTTGGAGCACTGCGATTCTACTACTTTGGAGCTCGGCGATTTTACTACTTTGGAGCACTGCGATTTTACTACTTTGGAGCACTGCGATTTTACTACTCTCATTTATAAAATCTTTAAAAGAAAAAACTGCACCAACTGAACTTAAATATATAAAAGTCACAAATTGCAAAAACAAAGACGCCGATATTAAAGCAAATACATTGAAAAAAAATCTACTCAAAAAAAACCATTGTAAATAATGAAAATATATATTTCGATTTGAAAATGTAATTAAAACAAGAATGAACAAAAGATCTTATATCGGAATCAATGAACTAAAGAATATTATGGAAATTTTTCGTTTTGTTTATGATAAAAAATATATGTACCGAATTTTTAATATCTCCTTAATTTTATTCAATTTTAACCAAGCGTTCAGTTTAAAAATAAAAGATATATAATCAAATTCTGCAACACCAGTTGTAAGTTACATCGTTTAAAACCATACAAAATTTAACATTATTATTTTTTCAGTTAATTAGGTAAGAAGATCGCTTTATCTCTGAAATATATGGACAACCTCTTTCATTAGTTGAATATTATTATATTAACCTGATCCAGAGCAGCATTATCAGCATTCCAGGATACTACAGGGATACCCACATATCTGAACATATATATACAGTATTCCAGGATACTATAGGGATACCCACATATCTGAACATATATATAGTATTCCAGGATACTACAGGGATACCCATATCTGAACATATATACAGTATTCCAGGATACTACAGGGATACCCACATATCTGAACATATGTATATATACAGTATTCCAGGATACTACAGGGATACCCACATATCTGAACATATATATAAAGTATTCCAGGATACTACAGGGATACCCACATATCTGAACATATATATATATACAGTATTCCAGGATACTACAGGGATACCCACATATCTGAACATATATACAGTATTCCAGGATACTACAGGGATACCCACATATCTGAACATATATATATACAGTATTCCAGGATACTACAGGGATACCCACATATCTGAACATATATATATATATATATAGTATTCCAGGATACTACAGGGATACCCACATATCTGAACATATATATACAGTATTCCAGGATACTACAGGGATACCCACATATCTGAACATATGTATATATACAGTATTCCAGGATACTACAGGGATACCCACATATCTGAACATATATATACAGTATTCCAGGATACTATAGGGATACCCACATATCTGAATATATATACAGTATTCCAGGATACTACAGGGATACCCACATATCTGAACATATATATACAGTAACCCAGTATACTACAGGGATACCCACATATCTGAACATATATATAAAGTATTCCAGGATACTACAGGGATACCCACATATCTGAACATATATATATATACAGTATTCCAGGATACTACAGGAATACCCACATATCTGAACATATCTATACAGCTATCCTTTCGTAACTTCGTATAAATAGAAATTAATATTTCTATTAAAATTTTTTTTAACAGCAGTAAATATTTTGTAAACTTCAGTGTTATGTTTTTTTCTGAATCGTTTTTTGATAAAACACGGATTTCTCCGACGTCAAAGACTACCTCTATTTATGTCTGTATAGGATATGGTCGTCTGAAAATAAGTGCACAGTCCTTTTTATTCTTTTTATTCTTACTTTGCCAGTTCAAGGAAGTATTGCGAGGCGACGGTTTCTCTTCCATAGTTTTCCGAATTGGTGAGATACAGCAGAGATACAATATTTCCTCCAAGGAATTTTTCACAAATTTTCTCTAAAACCTAAACAGATTATTAATTTACAAAAGAATTGTGTCTTTGCAGCAAACTCAAATTTTCTATTCCCTTTATCTTTACAACCTTTGTAAACCTTTAAATGATATTTTAAACTGTGAATTATGTTAAATGAAAAAGGTTAAACTTGAAATATCAAACCATCAAATTGTAAAGATATATTGGTTAGAAAATTTGGGTTTGTGGCAAAAACTCATTTCCTTTGTATCAAATTATTGAAAGGACTGTAGTCATGGTTTAACTGACCCTCAATGCAAAAATGGCAATGTCCGATTCACAACAATACCAATACCTTTATCTGATCAATAATGTGACAGGTATTGTCATTTTTCTAGGTTGCTATTAAAGCACTTCGGATCACACAAAACATAAAATTTTTTGTAAGCATTGAAATCTATCAAACTTTGCAATAAAATCTAATGAAATTAATTGTAAAAATAGAAAATTCGTTATTCAAAATTTGTAATCGATAATAAATATTTTTAATGTAACCTGTGTTGGTCCTGGCATTGCATCCAGCATTTCTAGAACTGGGTTCACAGTGTACTTTTCCTACAATATTTCAAGGATTTTTACATATGGTATTTTTCTCTTTTTATAGCCTATTGGAGGGTCAAATATTATTCTTATAATATTTGTTAATTAGGCCAGATACTTTACTTGTTTGTATGGGTGTTTGTATGCTTGTTTGAATCCAATAAACGTCAAAACGGCTGAACCGATTGTGCTCAAACTTTGTTAGGAACCTTCCATGACCCCAAGAAAGTTTTATGGATGCTCAGAATTACAAAAGTTGCTTCCAAAAAATTCAAATCCACGAAAAAATATTATTGATTCTGTAAACTTTTTGTGTGTCTTTTTTATAATGTACAAACGGAAGAATCTCACAAATAGAGCCACAATTAAAAGTTGAAATAGAAGGTGTGCGCAAGGCACTCTAAAAGCCTACCTTGCTGTTATTATATTATCAAAATATTTAGTAAAATTTCTTTCTGTCTATCTATCTATCTTAAATTTAGGTCTTAGTTTGAATGACTTAAGATAAATGCTTTAGGTTACTTTATCAATCTTTGGAGATTAACTTTAGCTGTCAACAAAATCTAATTGTCCTTTTTTAATAAATTTTTGTGACCCAGGGCCCCAGGGTCAATGTTTTGGTGCTATTAGCTGGTACACCTGCAATATTATTGTATTCAAATGTTCTATTGTTAAATACATGAGTAAATATTAAATATATTGTAAGCAAGTGGTAGATGTTGCATCCTTATAGGTCTAGGCACACTTGTTTCAAATCATGATTTAAGTAGATTTATCTTACGTCGATTTTCAGAAATTGGCATTTAATAATATTTTTAAACATAAACAATTAAAGGCGTAGATGAATTCAAAACCCCTGTCTGAAAAAAAAGCTTGAAGAAAAAAAATTTCGAATTAAAATTATGTTTTCTTCATATATCTGTAATTTAGAATATTACAAAGAACTAAACAATATTTACTATTGTTTTTAACTTGATTGCTATCCCTAGTATTGTGTCTGTATATTGGTAGAGCTCTATTCAATCTTTATCCTTCATCTGGTATTTACTTATCTTGTCTATCCTTCATCTTGTTTTCCTATCTTATCTATCCTTCATCTGGTATTTACTTATCTTGTCTATCCTTCTCTTATTACAACAACCCTCTCTATACACTTCTCTACAGTACAATTTATTGTTTTGTTTAGCAAACCTAACGACCATCTTTAAAATCTGGGAAGAAACCATCATCATTGGAGTACCATCGGAGACCCCCTTTCATCGGAGATCTACATGACCACAGTAGTGAATATTACAGCCATTTCTTACCCAAAAGCCAACTGAGACCCCCCAATTTTTCTTCGGAGACCACAGGTTTTTTTTGGAGACCCCAGGCTTTTCCTCTGGGCTAGTTCTCCAATGAAAATTTGGGGTTTAAAAAAAGTTTGGGGTCACCAATAAAAATCTGGAAGGTCTTCAATGAAAATGATAGGTTTAAAAAAAAGTTTTGGGTTCTCCAGCGGAAATCTGGGGTCTCCAATGAAACGTTTGGGGTCTACGATGAAAAATATAAGTTCTCCAACGAAAATTTTAGAGTCTCCAATGAAAATCCTGGGTCTGTCGATAAAACTGTTGGGTCAACGATGAAAACCTGGGGGTCTCCAATAGTTCTCCCAGACTCCGATCTGTAGAATATCAAGTAGTTCTCCTGTCGGATGAAAAGTATGAATAAAAAGTATGAGAATTAACAATGTTTCACTTTTTGTTGGACATTATAAACTAATTGTTAGGCCCTGGAAACTAATCATTAGACATAAAACAGATGGAAGCTCTAAAAAATTCACTTTGATAATAATACAAAAAAAACTTTTTTGCTTTATGTCATTTTAACCTATTTTGTCTTTAAATACTTAAATAAAATACTTTCTTTAATAAGTACTTTTTTGTCGAATTATCCAGGTATTTGAAATCTACGTTATTTAAAAATCTCTGATCAAATTGTAACTTTTTCAAGTTTTCGACTTACTTTATAATAATTTGTAATTTCGTTATTTGAAAAAAGTTTAGATTTGCATGGTTTTGAAGGATTTGATCAAACGAAAATACAAACATGTTCCCAACTTTAAATTCGAAAACAAAATTCTTATTCATGTATTTGATCATAAAAGTTGTGAATCCATCTTTTCTTCTGTGTTTTCATTGTTTGTTTACTGTTACGAAAAGAAGAGAAGATTTATGATTGTTAGGATTGCATAAGAACCCGCAGTTTATGTGATATTATCATTTTATTTATATTGTTAAAGTGAAAACTCTTTTATCCCCCGAAAATATGATAAATTATGAAATACATTCTACTTTCTGCAAATAACCAAAATACCAAATTAATAGAATTATCTCCAATTTATTTAATAATGGTTCTTAGAATCTATTTATATTTCTAGATTAACCTAAGTCCATTGTCTTCTTGTAAAAGCTGTAAAATAAAAAATTTTAAAAAATCTTTAAATCTTTAGATCAATGCAAGCTACAATTGATACAATGTTTGTAAGTGAAAAGATTCTCACCATGTAGAAACACAAGGCATATGAATTTTAAAATAAAGATTAATTGCATTTATTTAGTGTAAAACTATTGCATTTATTTAGTGTAAAACTATTGCATTTATTTAGTGTAAAACTATTGCATTTATTTATTGTAAAACTATTGTATTTATTTTGTGTAAAACTATTGCATTTATGTAGCGTAAAACTATTGCATTTATTTTGTGTAAAACTATTGCATTTATTTAGTGTAAAACTATTACTTTAGCTAGTGTAAAACTAATGCATTTATTTAGTGTAAAACTATTGCTTTTATTTATTTATTTATTTTATTTATTTTATTTTATTTATTTATTTATTGCATTTATTTAGTGTAAAACTATTGCATTTATTTAGTGTAAAACTAATGCATTTATTTAGTATAAAACTATTGCATTTATTTAGTGTAAAACTATTGCATTTATTTTGTGTAAAACTATTGCTTTTATTTACCTGAAATTTCATTTTAGTGAAGATCTTCTTTGCCGAGTTAATTTCTTTCAGATAATCTTTCTCCTTGAAGATTGAGTGCGGCAATACAACGGATATGCGCACATCCAAACTGGTTTCCGGAGAGTCCCTTCGACTGCAAAAAGACCGTAATGAATTAAAAGAACGAATCCATGTTCATCCACTAAATATTTTTATTTAATGTAACAACAAAAAAAAATGTGGATTGATTGTTGCCTTCTTCTTTCTTTTGACTAGAAATAGCATTTTTAAATTGTTATTTATTATTTAGTTATTATTTTTTTGTGAGTGTAAAAAAGTTCCAAACCGTAGAAGAGAAGAAAAACAATTCGTAAAAAGATAACTATGCTAATATGTTTCAAAATTTCTATTATAAACTTGATAATTTAATATTAACATTTAAAACTCCAAATATTATTTAGATTTGAAATTGAAATGTTTTCTCAATGCTAAATAAAGATAGAAAGAATAAGTGAAAATCAGTTTTAAGAATTCAACGCTTTTAAAATAGTGAGTGTTCATAATTTTAACTATGTTTAGGAATACTAAAAAAGATGAAAGTGTATGGTCTACAGGTGACATTTATCACTAATCCATTTTTGATTTGAACGTAGATTTAAAAACGAACTTTTTAAGTAATACGATAAATTATATAATGTTATGTGAATTCTATGTTTGACGGATTTTGAATTCAAAATGAAAAACCTAACTTTCCACAACTGTATTTGAGCCACTTTAAAATACATTCTCACCTTTAATCCTTTTAATCCTTTTAATCCTTTCAATCCTTTAATCCGTTTTCTTTTTAACATGGTTTAGAGGTGACGTTTGCAAAAAATATTTTTAACATCGTAGATCATAATTTTGAAGAAAATTTGCTGGTCAACAAAAAAATAATTATAAGTTATTTGTACCTGGCCGGTTTGTTTGTTCTAACTCTCAGATCAAGTCCTGAAGCTTTCTGCAGAACAAGTAGGATTGCTATTAATACAAACAACATTATCTACATCTGAAAATATAGAACAAAAAATATCAAAAATCCATTTATCAACAGTTGATTAATGGGAGAAATAAACTAGTTAGGTTAGGGCAAGGTTGTAATGCAAGGAAAGTTAATTGCAGTTTCTTCTAGAGGAGTTATTATTTAAAAAATGTCAGAGTGTAATACTTTAGTTTGACGTGGGTGGTCTGGGAAACAACAGTTTTGAGCTTATAGCTGGTAAATGTAAACATAAAAATATTCACTGCTGTTCTAGTTTTTTGGCAAATGAACAAAATATTTTTTTAAATATTTTTTTTAATGATCTACTATACCACTGGTTCCTGTTCTCATAGAACTACAACATCCTTGGTTCCTGTTCTCATAGAACTACTACACCCCTGGTTCCTGTTCTCAGAGAACTCTGCACCCCTGGTTCCTGTTCTCAGAGAACTCTTACACCCCTGGTTCCTATTCTTAGAGAACTACGTCATCCCTGGTTCCTGTTCTCAGAGAACTAATACACTCCTGGTTCCTGTTCCCAGAGAACTACTTCGCCCCTGGTTCCTGTTCTCAGAGAACTACTGCACCCCTGGTTCCTGTTCTCAGAGAACTCTTACACCCCTGGTTCCTATTCTTAGAGAACTACGTCACCCCTGGTTCCTGTTCTCAGAGAACTAATACACTCCTGGTTTCTGTTCCCAGAGAACTACTTCGCCCCTGGTTCCTGTTCTCAGAGAACTACTACACTCCTAGCTCCTGTTCTTAGATAACTACTAAATCACTAGCTTCTGTTCTTAGAGAGCTACTTCACCCCCGGTTCATGTTCTCATTGAACAACTACACCCCTGGTTCCTGTTATTCGAAAACTACTACACCCGTGGTTCCAATTCTCAGAGAACTACAACACTCCTAGCTCCTGTTCTCAGAAAACTACTACACCCCTAGTTCCTGTTCTCAGAAAACTACTACACCCCTGGTTCCTGTTCTCAGAGAACTCTTACACCCCGGCCCTGGTTCCTATTCTCAGTGAACAACTACACCTCTGGTTCCTATTCTCAGAGAACTACTACACCCCTGGTTCCTGTTCTTCGAGAACTACTACGCCCCTGGTTCCTGTTCTCAGAGAACTACTACGCCCCTGGTTCCTGTTCTCAGAAAACTATTGCACCCCTGGTTCCTGTTCTTCGAGTAGAACTACGCCCGTGGTTCCTGTTTTCATAGAACTGCTCACTTATCAAAGTGAATTCGTTCGCTTCTTCTCTTTTTACTTTTTTGTCAGCGGATGCGTTTTCTAAAATGTATGTTAAATTATAGAAAATCAAATTAACGAAACCGAATACGTCTTGCCCTGGTTAGGCCAGCTCCAGGCTGCATATATTCTCCTGGTCCTGGGTCCCCCTATTCTCAGGGTACAACTATAAAGCCCCTGGTTCCTATTATCTGGGTAGTAATATGATACCCCTGCTTCCTATTAGTCAGAGTACAACTTTGAAACCCCTTGGTTCCTATTCTCAGGGTACAAGTTAAGACCCCTTGGTTCATATTCTCAGGGTACAACTATAAGACCCCTTGGTTCCTATTCTTAGGGTACAACTATAAGACCCCTTGTTTCCTATTCTCAGAGTACAACTATGAGACCCCTTGGTTCCTATTCTCAGGGTACAACTATAAGACCCCTTGGTTCCTATTCTCAGAGTACAACTATGAGACTTCTTGTTTCCTATTCTCAGGGTACAACTATGAGACTCCTTGGTTCCTATTCTCAGGGTACAACTATAAGACCCCTTGGTTCTATTCTCAGGGTACAACTATAAGACCCCCTGGTTCCTATTCTCAGGGTACAACTATAATGTCCCTGGTTCCAATTCTCAGGGTATAACTAGGATATCCCTGGTTCGTATTCTCAGAGTACAACTATGAGACCTCTTGTTTCCTATTCTCAGGGTACAACTGTAATGCCCCTTGTTCCTATTCTCAGGATATAACTATAATGCCCCGGTTCCTATTCTCTAGGTAAAACTATAAGGCCTCTGGTTCCTATTCTCTAGGTACAACTATGAGACACCTGGTTCTTACTTTCAGTCTCATGGTACAACTATAAAGCCTCTGGTTCCTAATCTCTAGGTACAGCTGTGATGTCGACCTGGTTCTTATTCTCAGAGAATAAAACTATGATACCGGCCTGGTTCCTATTCAACTATGATGCCCCTGGTTCCTATTCAACTATGATGCCCCTGGTTCCTATTCAACTATGATGCCCCTGGTTCCTATTCAACTATGATGCCCCTGGTTCCTAATCAACTATGATGCCCCTGGTTCCTATTCAACTATGATGCTGCTGGTTCCTATTCAACTATGATGCCCCTGGTTCCTATTCAACCATGATGCCCCTGGTTCCTATTCAACTATGATGCCCCTGGTTCCTATTCAACTATGATGCCCCTGGTTCCTATTCAACTATGATGCCCCTGGGGAATCTCCCGGGGCTAGGTTTTCTAACTTCTTAAATAAATATAAAAATACAAACTTTAGAGAAATAGGAAATAGATACTTGTAGTCTCGACAAAATTGGAAAACATTGAATATTAAGATTTACCTGTAATAATAATGACAATAATAATAATAATTACAATGACAATAACAATATAATATAAATATACAGCGCTCTGCAAAATAAAATGGAAAATGAAGACAAGTTTTTTCAAATGTACAGAACAGCAATGTATTTTCCCTACTCAAACTGCCGTCTTCATTTTCCCCTTTAATCTTGGGACCACTGCATTCTTTCGTCCTTAATAATGTCGTGTTAATTTCTCACTTTAGTTTGAAAACAACAGAACGTGTTAATTTCTCACTTTATTCTGGGGACCACTGCTGTTACTGCGAAGTGTCGTATTCATTTTCCACTGTATATAGAGGACACTGCATTCTTATTAAAATGTCGTCTTCATTTACACATTCATTCGTTCGTTGAACTGACAGTTGAAGAACAAAATGGAATTTGAGGACGGACCTTTCAGTGGAAATGAAGACGACATTGAAAATTTAAAAACGGGGTGTCGACTGTTAGTTCCACGAACGTATGAACGTGTAAATGAAGACGACATTTTGATAAAAAAAAAATAACATTGATAATCATTAAACTATTTCGCTCCTTTAATGTCTAGGGTATGCTAAAAAATAGAAATAATGACAATGATAATGATAAGCTACAATGTTTTACAAAAACGTTTAATTTCTCAAAAATAACAAATAAATTCTCCCAGAGAATACGTCTTGTTGCCAGCGGTTTATATACGTTCGGTTACAATAATGTTTAACTTTCGAAAAAATGAAGTACGACAGCTTTGTAAATCTTAAGATTTTTGAGATTTAGTTCAAAGCGCTCTTGAATCAAAATAAAGAAACCGAATGTATCTCGCTCTGGTTAGTCCGGAGTGTGTCTTGTTGAGAGACCGGGAGATAAAATTCGAATGAGACTTGAGAATTGAGGATAAACCGACCAAGGGGTCTCGGAGAATGAATCTGATCGGTGAGTTGTCTCTCAAACCACCGTTGCAGTTAGATGGATAGCAGACAATTTATTTTCAATGCTTTAAATCCTCAATTCCCTCTTTTTCATCTTGGATTTCTTTTATCTTATTCTTCATGGTCATTTTATTCCCGGATTTTGTATATATTTGTTGTACCATGTATCAGTAACAAAAGAAATAAAAACTTTAATTTTGCCAATTTAAATGTTAAAATTCAAGGAATAAAAATATTAAAATGAAAATGGTAGATCCGCAAAGGGACTCAAGAGAATATGGTTTTGAATATGCAAAAATTTTTAGAATTAATTAGAATATTGGATTTGAATTTTTACCTATTTAAAGTTTTTTTTATTAGAAATATGTTAACCTCTGTATGTGAATAATAAGTTCCCCCTCAACTATTCAAATTATTCAATATTCTTATGATTATGCATTATTCTCTCTCTTCCTCCACACTAATCCTCTCTATTCATATATATTCAGGTTTTACAAATATAATTTTTAAAAACATTACTTGAGCGAATATATTTTAAACTGACCCCAACGCCCAAAACTGTTACGCCTGTGTTAGGTTATTCTAACCCACTATTATTATGCCTTAATTTATTTATAATACAACCTTCCATAAACCTTCCCTGGGATCATGTGAGGTCCCACAAAAAAGTAGGTCCCGAAAGGTTCAGTCGTTTTGACGTTTATTTTAAACAAACGGACAGAGTCCAGACACACAAGTATCAGTCTATTTTATTGTAAACAAACGGACAGAGTCCAGACAGACAAGTATCACTCTATTTTATTGTAAACAAACGGACAGAGTCCAGACAGACAAGTATCACTCTATTTTATTGTAAACAAACGGACAGAGTCCAGACAGACAAGTATCACTCTATTTTATTGTAAACAAAATTTGTATTCTGTTCTTTGAGACTAGACGTATTGCAAATCTGAAAGAAAATATTAAAAACAACTTAAAAGCTAAAAAACATTCTAAAACAAAGTTTTTGTTTTACATCCCTTTTCGCTCTGTCAAGTGTAAAAATAAACCTTACTTTGTACACATGCAGTCATGGCATATGCAAATCAGTTAATGAAAAAAGTTTATGGACCTCTTAGACTCCATATTAATCTACTCCGTGTTTCCAACCTTCCACTCCGTATCTGACTACTCAGTGAATCTTCAAGTAAAAAGGTTCTAAAACATTGAATACAAACTCATGTATTTTTATTTTTATTTTAGTTTACTTTTATTGGACTGCATTGTCAATATTCTATATTCTAGTAAGCTGTCCCAACTGTTCACATAGATTCAGACACCTGTGAACAGTTGCATCATTTTTCAGAGTTTGGCTTTAACGTCTTGCAGTTCTTTACATCTTAAAACTATAAATTCCTAATATACGGAGAAAGGGTAGAGTATAGAATGCTGATGGACAGTTTGTATAGGGGAATTGTACAGACTCCTTATCATTGAACATAAAGGTTAACATGTA